TGAATTCCTTCGGATAATGACCACACGTATATGAAGAATACGTACATATTCCGAGAACGTCTAGAAGTAGAACGTCTTGATTCTAGAAGCGTTGAGAGACCAAACTAGCAGTACATAGTGCTGGGCACTTACCTGGACTTATATAGCTGCTTTTCTCAAATATGCCTTGTCGTTATATTAAGACACCACACGGATGAATAATCTTCTCCAATTGGTCAGTATCCTGCTGGAAACTTGTCCAAACGGACCAGGCTGCCACGAGGATTCCACGCCTATTCTTATCCCCTTACTTCTCAATGGCCACGTGCGACCAGGGAGAGCACGGCATGTCCCCATCGCCAATCAGATTTCAAAGCCGTATAAGCTTGCTCATGTCCGTCCTATGGAGTTGCACTCATGTCAGCACAGAAACTCTAGAGAATTGTCGGTAGCATATGAAAAGACTTCTGAGATATCACAAGTAGGAAAAATCTATGATATAAAGAAGAAGAATCTATCTAGTACTAGACGCTCTAGTTGAAGTTGATAATGACAAGGGGTGTGTGTGAGATGTTGAATCAGCTTTGATAATGTACACGAGTGGGTAATGTACAAAGAAGACAGGACCATAATAACAGAATGAAAGAAATCATCCAGGAGGTTAGCACCTATATATCTATGCCCAGCGTTGAGACTCCAAGCTCCTGGCGCCTGTGAACCAAAATCAAAGGCCATGCAAGTCATTAAAAAGCACGAAACGCCTGTATATGCGTGTGAAGCAAAAGCCATATGTGAGATTCAATCTGCATGATGAGAAGCATCTGGGCTGTGTGAACCAGCCCCTAGGTCCACTATCTCCTTGGCACCAATTGCTGGTGATCTGGCAGTGAAATCAATATCAAACTCCTCTGGTACAGTGAACTTGGCACTCTCTCCATCCCAGAGTAGCCATTTGTTTAGAGAGGATATCTGCTTCCCAATCCACAATATCCTTTCCTTCCTTGAATCTACCATTGAAGCCTGTTCAAAGTATTTCTCATCCTCCTCAACGGCTTCACCTGCGAACCATTTTAGTGGGAAGTATTCCTCCGTATATATTAATCCTCGCATAGCGTAATCTTCTGGCAGTGGCCGATAGTGATCCTGGTTTTCTGCCCCAGGGAATACCTCGCTGTCCATGCGAGGCTCGAATTTGCATGATTGTTTTAAGTAGTTCAGCATCGTTGCGATAAGTTTCCAAGGGTACTTATCCTCGATGAACTTTATAGCAGAAGGGAATTTAGATAAATGATGGAGAAACACCATCTGTGTATGCAGAAAGGGTAGTATATTCATATCTCCCCACCGCCGAATTACTATCTCAAGAGTTTGCACAGCAAATGAGAGCGATTGATGGAAGACATTTGTCGGGATTGCTTCCGGAGTAATCGATTCACCTGCTGTTTCCATATCATCAGATCGTTTAGGAGTAATGGCGTTTTTCAGGACGTTGGAATCACTGCCGAATCCAAAGAGAGAGCATGTTAATGAAATGCCCATATAATATCCAGCCTCCAGCCAGCTTTTTGTTGTCCGAGCAATATGGCCATCAAGCAGAGTTAAAAATTGCTCAGCTGCGGGTGATAATTCGTGCTTTTCCTTGCCAGAGAAAAATATAGCCAGAATTCGTACAAAGGCAAGATCAATTAGCTCCAATCGAGGCGGGCTTGAGCTTAGCACAGGGTCGAATAAAGTCATGACGCTCTCCCTGGCACTCAAGAACGGGATAGGGACGCAAAGGGATTTCGTGTAGTAGTAAGTTTGCTGCAGCGCGTTGGGGCGAGCGAGGATAGCTAGGTGATGGTAGAGACGCCCTGTAGTCGGTAGTTTATCCGAGGCCTTGGAGTACCAATATCGAGATACTGCTGTCCATGTTTCCCGGTCTCTGATATCATCGTCTTCGATGGCCATGCGATATCTTCCCAGATCTCCAAGGCATTCAATCCATGTGTCTTCAAAGGCAGGCACAGTCTCATACAGGAGGGCCATCATACTGTAAGCGATGTAGATGAAAGTAAGCATATGCTCCAGAGACTGCGGCAGTCTATGCCTTAGGAGCTCGAGGAATGAGTGGATTCCATGCCGCCACATGCGAGCTGGCATCGCGTACTTGGAAGCTAGTCGTCGCAGCGCCGGGCTAGCGGAAGGATGTTGGCTAGCGAGGAAAAAGTCGTGATGTTCGTGAAGCAGTGTGCGATGCAGGGCGATAAGTGCTTGCCATTGCTCATTGTTAAGCGGCTGCGGCGAGTCTTTATTGGCTGATTGGGCGTTATCCACTTCAATGCACTTGCTTTCGACCATGACAAGCCCAGCATATATACCCTTGACTTCAGCAACGAGCTGCTCTTGTGAGATTGGTCGAGTCTCTGGCTGACGAATCATTTGCGATACCGAAGGATCTTCTGTGTATGATTCGTCCGGCTCTGCTTCTGCGTTTGGGCTTGGTTCTGATTCTGGTTCCTCCGCTTTGCTGACAGGTTGTTGCTTTGACCATTGGCTAGACTGTTGTATTTTTTCTTGAGCGGGCTTCAAGGCAGCACTACCCGGACTCCAAAGCTGTCGACTGCTGAGACCCTTGGTCCCCCGATCAAACTCCTTGTCATTTTCGGCTTGCTGCCTACGCCTGTGTCTCTGTGAAACTCGTGGTGTTGGCGAGTTACTAGGTGATCGCCTTTTCTTACTGTCCCTTTCATTATCAGAACCTTCTCTATCATGTGAATTTACATTATCAAGGTTCTGCTGGTCTTCTGATAAATCGTGGGCACCAGTTCCACCAGGTCTCTTCTTGGACCTCTTGGCTTGATCAACGTCTGAAAACTGAGGTCTTTTTGGGGGCGAAAAAAAAGATTAAAACTGGATTAGTGTACGTCGATGCATAGTTCAGGAGTTGGCTAACTCACTGTACTCTGGAAGACGCAAGCTTCATCTTCTCTAGAGCATCCAAGATATCCTTCTCCTCTTTAGGATGGTTTTCAGGATCTTCGCGCACATGCTGCTCAAAGCCAGCCTTGGTTGGTGGCTTTATGTCTTGCTGGCAGAAGTCGCAGGTGAGCTGCCGAGCTGTGCGCTGATAATTAATCCAGTTCTTTGCAATATCCAGCTGGCGAGGCATGTTGATGGATCAACGATGTGATGACGAATATGTGATGTCGTTGCGTGCTAACTCATTGATAAGCGATTCAACAAAGATCGCAAGAGAACACGTCGCGAGAGAACACGTCTTGTGAGGATGCCACTTGGGTGGAGGTTGATGAGCTGAGAGATGGTCTACTACGGACGCATCGGTTAGCAAAAGCCTAGCTGTGAAGTTCTGCCGATATTTGGTAAGGTGGCCATGAATGGATCAAATGTAAAAATGGAAGGAAAAATGATGTTGCAGTGAGTGAGAGCACTAGGTAAGTACATGTAGCTGGGGACCTCCCCACATGACTGGGGGCCGCCTGTAACTTCAATTGTTGGTAGGGGGCGCGCACCACTAGGTGGCGGGGCGCATGCGGCTCTTCCATTCTTTCAGCCTCCCCAGGAAAAGCCCTCCAGCGCAGACTCTCGCAACCTCTCGAACAAAGACGACAAGATTTGGGAGTGTTGCAGTGACGATACAACAAGTTGTGATTTAGAATGTATCAATACTGACCTAGGCAGCTGATATGGGGTGGAAACTGGACAATAGACGGATATTCATGCCAACGGTGGCAGCATGTGAAGCTGTGGACTCATGGCAGACTGCATCCTTGGTTTGATGGAATGAAGACACATAGGTAGCAGGCGGTCCCTTATATATACCTCAATCTACCGACCGGCTTCAGTGTTGGATTCAACCCCAAAAAACAGGACATGGAGTTGATCGAGCCCGGTGGAAGTAGAAACATAGGTAGCCTTATGACCAAGGTTAGGCTATCAGAGAAACCGCGTACATGCAATGTAGCCTGGCGCGCGCACAAACAGCCTCATATATACCTAACTACCTAATCTCCTCTTTTTTGATAACTTCTACACAAAAAGGAGAATTATAATGGTTGATTTGTATTTCTAGACAAATTTGCCGAATGGGGATTGGGCTTTTACTTGTCACAGACTTATTACATGTATATATATATATATTTTTGGGACGCAAGCAGCCGTTAGGTATTACCGTGCGCCAACTTCGAGTTCATATGAGAAGTCGTGGGCATTTTCACGAATCTACATTCTCATGTACATGGTAGATTAACATCCGTCATGGATTCAATTACATGGGGCATCCAATCCTATGCCCATGTTACCTACGTGTATAGTAGGCACCAATTCCTCCTAATGTAGGCATAACGGGCTGGCTGGATTGGCACCTCCATGTAAGTCGCGAACTTGTGGAAGCATTTCTGCCTTCTTCCTATGTTCCGCGTCGATATGAAGAGCCGCATGCACCTCGATTACTAGGAGGTGTCCAATCCAGCATCCAGAGTGTGTAGCATTGGCACATGCACTTTTGTTTTCAAGCTGCTTCGCTTCATCTTTTTCCATCATCTTCAAGATGTTGCACAACAGACCAAGCAGGCAGCTGGTCCAACAAACGAGATTACTCTTCTTCTGCCTTGCTGTTCAAGTGCGGTCTAGAACAATGTTGGCATACAATTCGCAGCGGCGGCCCTGACACAGATGCCTCGTTCGCCCTTGAAAAGCACCATTTTGAGCAGAATTGTGATTTAATCTCACAATCTGCCCTCAATTGTGCAACGTGATACGGCGTTGCACACCTGGCTACCACGATTTGCCTGCTATATCATTCCAACGATGAATGACACTGTCTGAGACACCTATGTAGGCGAGACTCATGGATGCCTCGAAGATCGCATCACGTTCTCAACAATCATTCTCGGCACGGCTATGGGAACGTCATAGCTTAGCATCTTAATGCCACGTGTAAGTCAAAGCCACTCGATATAATGAGGCGGAAGAAAGCAGCTGTGATGATATGTTGGCTATCCTAGGTTAACATCATTAAGTCTCAGGTCGAGCATGTTGTATGTAACAAATTGCATAAACACCCAACATCCCAAATTGCAACCATTGGCTCATTTCGAAAGAAGTAATGACGAAATTCTCATGTTGGAAACGGATTGGTCAGAAAATGTCCTCGCCTCGCCAAAAAAAGTTTGTCCTGAAGCCTGAATGACCGAAAGCGTGTGCTATTTGAGGCTGTTGATCTGATCAAAACTAAGGCGTCAAGATGGACAAGGAACGCAATAGGGTGGTAGGGCCCTACTTATTGTCAAAGTGTTTCATTCTTATCATGGCCAGTGAGCGAGTCACAGTTTAGGCTGCAATGTTTCCCATTGGTAAATGATGGCCAAATGAACCTTGTTATAATAAGAGCCCCGATATCTTAGTGCATGAATGATTCAGGCATCATGGGTCTATGGATGGTTTAGGCGCATCATGCATTGACGCCTAGACAGTAAATGTCCTAGCAACTAAAGAGACCCCCGCCATTGCAATAGTCATCGTTCAACGTCCAATTCACGACGACATGAAGCCCTACTCTACATAAAGATTATGTTCCAGCTAAAGAATTCAAAAAATGTACCAAGAGCATTGAGGTTTAAATCTAGAAAAAAACTCCCTGCGCAAGGCAAACAAAGGAGAGACAATTGGTAGCAAACTTGGTAGTAATAGCAAAAGGCCTCTCCGCTGATCCACAGTTTATAAGTGCTCCTATATCAAGCTCGCTTGCTCAATCGTTGCGTCATGTCCAAAAAAACCATCCATCCACGAATATAAAAGACTGATACACAAAGCACGTACACACATGCAGGTGTGTATGTGAGTCTCTAGCCTGAATTAAGTACCGTTGCATTCTGCCTTGCGCCCAAAAACAGTATATTAGGTGGGCAATCTTGAATCTTGACTACGATTGGCCAGCGTTGAAGCCAGCGAGACGGCATCATGTCTATACGTAGGTACTCGGGTATGATGCATTTTCACCGAAACTCCTACTGCGTAGGTAGGTATCTGCAGATAGCAAAAAATTAACTGAAAAGAATTCTACTAGTCATGAGATTTTATGGCATAGAGAATTAATCCATCAATTGCTTTGTGCAGATGAACAACATTGAGTAGCTGTGATAAACCCAGAGGTATGTCAAAACAATTGACTCTCTTTTTCCCTGTTCTCGTACGCATATTTAGGCAAATTTGTCATGTTGTTTGCCCTACATCATATTTCAATCATGGAATGTTCAGAAAAGTTGCAATTATTACTTGGTAGACTGGATAGAGTGGTGCATTATCGTATATTCTCGCCATCCTCTCACGTGCGCCTACATGTATTACCGCAGCTCAGATAATTACACTTGCTCATAATGAGATCTCAGATTGAATACTTGTCCAAGACCGAGCTATGTGCATATACTTTAGTTTTTAATTTGCGGCCTTGTTATATAAGACACATTTCAACCATTCGCCGCTTCATACTCACCTAGGAGTAAGAAACAAAAAAAATACAAAGAGCATCGAAAAGGACATACGCTTTTTGTTGTTCGTATTCGCATATCCAAATAATCTACCATCATCTAGGCAGTAGATAGTCACTTCAATTACTCAACTAGGTAATAAGCTTTCCTTGTTTCCAAGCTGTGTAGATCTGCCTCTCGCTACCCAACGCGTCTAAGCGAGAGGTGTTCAATAATTTAAGCCGCCTACTTTTGCCTTGTGTTAAGAATAGATCAATAAATACAATCTTCCAAGCCTTTCTTTATTCGTGCCATTGATTCATATTGCAACCGTGAATCACACCACATTCGCTATATAGGATCATTTCGTGTAGCAATTCAGCCCTTCACCATCAATGACTCAAAGAAAGCCAAATTCCACGTCCCTAAATCTTCCGAGACTGACACACATGCAATTTCATCTATGAAATGCATTCGATAATATTCCAAGAGCTTGCAATGCTGCCGATGCACAGCCGGAGCAGTGGCGTAATACCTAACTCCTTGTCGCCACTCTGATCTAATACTCACGCGAGACATCTGGTGCTTTTTCAGGCCTCCATATAGATACTTTCAAAGCAATATCTAGTGATAGAAAGCAGAAATCGTGAACATTATTCTGATTCCTTTTTTTCTTCTTCTAATTTATGGTGTTCATTGAGCCTTGTCTATGGACAAGGGGGAAATATCGGTGAGCGTACATGCATATGAGTAATGCAATGCGGAGAGACATGGACGCCACCGTAATCTTCCAACTTGAACACTTGCTAAAGCCAACTCCGCTGGCCTTTTAGTATTGTTCAATATTCTTACGAGCCAGCCAATAGATCTTATGATACACACCGCAGAATATCCGGTTGAGGGTCCGTCAATACTATTATACGTACCTTTTTCTGCTAAGCGCGGTTATGATCCTTTTAATAGAGTCCTACATGTAGGCTCCTATTCTGCACACCACGGTAGACCTTAATCTGAGCCCGGCCTGGTGACTGCCTCATCATCGCACATATATTGAATTATGCGATACTGGGATTCCCCTGCTTAAACAACGAGTGCTTTGTAACAAGTAGACTGGAATAGCGAAACACTCATCGTTACTTCAGAGTAACGTCACCAGAGTATTTCTACTGCGAATAGGCAAATGTATCCTAAACAAGGGGGAAAAGGCATCCAGTGTAACTGTTACTGCTACCAATCTCCTATCAACACGTAGGAAACACAAGATATCTTACTCAGAATAAAACTTGTCCTATCAGATGCTTCTTACATACATTTCAGTGGTCATCCCCCTCGCGTCTTAATCTCTTCAGCCAGTCACTGTTCGTCTGGCAAAAGAAGGCAAGTTACGCGCGACGCGTGTAGATGGCGCCGCTCATATCAAATTTCCAAGTCTTGAGATGGTATCCAATGAACTCTAGATAACGCGACGGCTTTGCCGGACACTTCCGCTCGGGCAAAAGATATCACATTTTGGGGGCCAAAGGATGATAGTACCTATCCTATTGGTAAATGCAGTATTGAGGCGGCAACGATGTAACCGCCACGTTACTTGCTGCCTTAGCTGACTTGGCTGAGAGGCATACACCTGACTCAACGAGCAGTCGTGGTATGCTCACATGAGAATAGATATTCGGTGATTTGACGGTCATGATGGTCATGATGATCACGATGATATTCCTCTATCACTGGCGCCACCACTCGTACTTTTCAGCCTCCCTCATCTTCGCCTCAACCCTCTTTATAGTTTCATCGTCGTAAAGCTCCTCCAAGGCTTTGTCTGCCTTGAAGATTTCCTTCTCGTGCCTAGTTGCCTCTTCCTTCGTCATACACACCAAATCCTGGAGCCGAATCGTGGAGCACTTCTGTTCATCTTTGCCTTCTCCTATCCGAGACACACTGGAGGTCACCGGCTTCTTCCACCTGATAAGAACAAGCTTCGTGGGGATACCACTGAGGATGCTGCGCCCGCCATACAGCTCCTCAGTCATGAAGGCGACGTCGCCCAAAGTCAGTGGGTTCTTCAATCCAGTCAACCCAGGGACAAACATGCGGCCCAGCTTCTCCTCCGATCCTTGAACATAAGTAAGAATGCCTTCGTACATTCGTTCACGGGCCTTGCCCGGAACATAAGTAACTGGGTATCCAGTTATCTTCAAAATAACGTGGTTGGCGGCAGTTAATCCAAAAATTGCGGGCATGGTTCCGAGAACAGGAAGAATTCTCACTCTAAAGTTGGCCATGACTCCAAGGTCTCCAACAGAGCCTTTCTGGAACTCTTCCTCGGGTAGGGGCAATAGCTCAGCTTTTCCCTCCCCGGACTGCTCCGTGCTGTAAACGACGGGAATGCCGCTGGTAACTCCTAATAGCTTCAGCCGCCGTCGCGTAGCTCGTGATAGTCCATCATCTTTGCTAGTTCCAATATCGCCTATCACAATCTTTGTCGGATCTCCTTTGCAGCCTGCTCCCATACAGCTAATGACAGGCATGTCCCTATCGTAACAGTACTTCAGAAGAGCAACCTTTGTGTCAATGTTGTCAATAGCATCGATAATAAAGTCCGGCTTGCGGCCTTCCCACGGTGCCAGCATCGTTTCAGCCACTGATTCATCGAACTTCTCCTGCTTAAGATCGAATTTGATCCAGGGCGCGATTGCAATAAGTCGTCGGTAGAGGCATTGTACCTTGGGGGTGCCCACGTCCGCTAGAGTTGCAACAGCATGTCGGTTCAATGAGCTGAGCGTGACTTGATCAAAGTCGATAAGTCGAATGTTGGAAACTCCTGATCGTGCCAAAGTTGCGGCTGCATGTGAACCAACTCCTCCACAGCCTACAACTATAACAAACGAATCACGCAGCTTCTTTAAGCCTTCAGGCGTGAGGAATACTTGGTTACGGGCGAGTTGCTCCAAGATCAGTTCTTCATCAAAGTCTCCAGCCTGTGCACGTTTTGCGAGAGCGATATTGCGAGCATCTTCGGGGTCCAATCCTGTTTCTGATGCATTCCCAAAGCCATTCAACTAAAGACATGTTAGAACGTGGAATCGAACCTACAATTATAGGGGCTAATTTACTCTTTTAGAACCATCATCTTCGTTGTTTGGCAGTCTTGGTATGGAGTTTTTCAGCTCGGACAGCCTCTCTTCTCTTTCCAAGGCTTGAAAGCCCAAAATCAGTCCCGCAACTGTCACACCAGATACAGCAGCTGTTGCAAGCAACTGCACCCGGGGATTTGACAATGTTTCCGATAGAAAAGAAGACATTGTTCATCACATCATATACGATTCCAAGAATAGCATCTAAGTCACTCAGGATTGTACAATTGGACTAAACTTTCTTCCGATAAGCGGATAAGACAAGCTAACCCCACCAAAAAAACTGGATATTTGCCTGTCTCTTATCCGATGGACACTACTAGTACGCAGGTCGATGAGCGCATCTTCAATCGACAGAACAACCAAGAAAAAGGCATCATCCCACCCATTCGACTTGGCTTTTACACCAGCCGGACTCCGGCTTCTAGGCCTGCGCCGCCATGGCCCCAAGATTAATAACCCGCAAGATTGTATTCCCCCAGGCAGGATCCCGATCACGATGCCTGCGAAGCTTTGCCCGCCTCACCACATCCAACACTCGATCACGACCGGTCCTGCCTTTCCTCTTCATCCCTAGAGCGAGCCCCAACTCTGTACGGTGCTATACATCCGAGCGACGACGATGGTGGAAGCACGAGGCGAAGCTCGTGGTGCGATACACCCTCACATTGTGGGGAGCAGTGGTGTGCGTCCTGACGATCCTGTTCGCCATCAATGAAGAGGTCGTGGAACGAGACTTCCCTACGCCACACGAATGGCACTATCTGACGAGGAAATTCTTGCGCGATGCGAACAACTTCAAAGACCCGAAGAATGGAGAGGTCAATTGGGCTAGAGCTTTGGAGCTGTCACGAGGAGTGGTCATCCGGCTGGAAGATCCGAAGACGGGAGGACAGGACGTTGCGAAGCTCTCGGATATCGTCGATCCATCGCTAGAGGTGCCTGGCGAGTTCATCGCCTGCGATATCTCAAAGAAATCCGAGGAATGGCGAAGAGGCTACTTCGAAGCCATCATGCTGGCCGCCAAAGCCGCAGAGCACGTTGACGGCTGGCAGCGAGACATCACGCGCAACATCGTCACCCCTCCCGAGTTCGTCATCGGCCCGTCCAATCCTCACCCATCTCCCATCCCACCAGGCAACCCCTCCGCTCCTCGCGAGGAGGATTGCGAGCTCGCTTACCCGTCCGCCGACAACTGGTATACCAAGATCCTCGCAACCAAAGGCCTGAACCCCCGCCAAACGGTAGAAGCATGCCTGGAATACGCAAGCTTCATGGAGTTCAAGGGCAATCCTCAAGGCGCCGAGTCTCTCTACAAACTAGCACTAGCCGAGGCAACCGCCGATGTAGACCCAAAGAAACTGCCATACGACCCAAAAACCCTAATCCTAAAGGATCGCGCCGAACCGCCGTCAATGAACGTCCTCAGCGCCCTGACAGCCATGACCAACCACACGGCCCGCAAAGGCGACCTCTCTTCCGCCCTCCCAATGTACCTTTCCATCCTCAAAGCCAGCCGCTCACTCTCCAACGACCCACCCCGCACACCCTTAACCAAACCCAAGCGCGAACCCATCTATCAGCAGATATTGAACGTTTTCGCCCCGCCAGATTATCCCCCGCCCCCACCTGATGGGACATCACCCCCCTGGAGGAGCACCCTAGAACGCTGTCAAGAAGCTGCTCTCAATCTATACATTGGCGAAATCCTCTTTGCAACGGGCTCGCGCGACGACGGCCTAGCCTGGACGAGAGATGGAGTCGATCTAGCAGAAGAACAGCTTCGAAACCCGAAAATAAACAACGACGGTCGTGATACGAAATCAACATGCAGAAACTGTCTATCTACCGGGCTAGACAACTGGTCCATCATGGTATCGACATTGGCAAAGGAAGAAAAGGACAAGAAGGCTACAGGATCTCAGCCATCCGTGTTCTCCTTCTGGAGTGGACCGTCACGAGAAACAGAAGGTCGCTGGGAAGCCGAAGAGGCAGTTATTCAAGACCGCGTTAAGCGGACACGGGAATTGTTGGAGGATATACAGGCGCAAAAGCCTGGCATTATGACTTATTTCAAGGTTTAAATGCGAATAGTACGCCAGTTTTATCCCTTTGATGTATTAAAATATGCGTTGTCACAATCATTCTAAAAACACGATTCAAAAACCTCATGTAGTATTAGTAGCAGCTAATGAAGAAGGCCACAGTCTTTGCTTTGCGGTCGCATCCAGATGTGCCTATGTCAGTGTGTCTATACGAATTCGTCTGCCTGCTAAGATGAGAAGAGGAATCTAGAGCTATCAACATTCCAAGAGCGTCTGGAACATCAAGACAGCGTTCCTATACCTTGATTCGAGCTCAAGGCTCTGTCTCCATCTCCTCTGTCTCCATTTCCTTTGTCTTCATCTTCTTTGTCTCCCTCTCCTCAGTCTCCCTCTCCGAGTCTGTCTCCGGCGCCTTTCCAGTCTCTTCAAACTGCTTCCAGCGCTTAATCTGCCTAATATCCTCTTCCAATTCATCGGGATTTGTCTTGATTACGATAGGTTTCTCTCCTTCCGGCAACTCCTCCCAGCTCCGCTCAGTCGTAGGTAGGAGAACATCACAATCAGCCGGAACAAGGAGTGGATTCTCATATTCGAGATCAAGAGCCACCTCCTGGAGATACGAGAGGATATGAGACCGAGCTCGGACAAAAATCGATTCCGTATGCATTGGTTCGGAAGAGGAATAGCATGGGAGGCCCAGAGAGGGGATCCAACGGTTCGAGTTGCCTTCAGGAGGTGCTAGAGGAGTGCCAACGGGCTCATGAGAAAGGAAATAAGCACGACCTCGCTTAAGGACCCTCTGTTAGCCGAATGGTTGCCTTTTGTTTAGTAGGGGATGATATCGTCTTACTTTTGCCATAAAATCCTTGAACTTTTCATTCTTCAGCCCCTCTGACTCATAGACCGGACCAAGGAGGACGAGTGCGCTGATCGTGTTGCCCCAGGTATTCCAGGCTTCCTCCCCGTCCAAGAAGCGCTCCACAATCTCGCAGCTTTCCCCGGTAGCTATGATGTCCACGGTTGCCTTATCGTTGGCCCTGCGCGAAATCACTTCATCGAACACGTACTTGACATGTTCCTCTGCACTATTGTTGCCTGGAATACCGTGGACATTCGGCACATGCTGCACTCCTCTGTGCACCAGACTAGGCAGCGGCACGGCGTTGTTGGCCGTCACAGTGATGGCTCGCTGTCCCTCGGGCCACCAACACGTCTGACCCACGTTTGCCAATACGATGCCTGGAGAAGTGTCATCGCTGCTGGATCCTCTCTGCAGTTTGACAGCTCGGACAACCTGCATGACGCTCCCTTCGTCGATGCCTCCTGGTCCATTGGCCACGCGACCTGCCAGGACTCCAAGCTCATGGGTGGGTTCACCGAATATGACGATAATTCGAGACCGGATCTCCAAGTCTGGAGTGATAAAAATAGGCAAATGAGGCTCCGTTTCCCATGCACCTAAAGGCAGGCAGAGCTTCAGCAGTCCTTCGTGTTCGAGGCGCTTGTGGATAATGTCTTCCATGGCATCTGGGGAGTGGATATGTCAGTCGTGCTTTAATGCAACGGATAATGAACAATATTTGGTACGCTGTGTATAGACATAAGATGCACTTACGGTTAAACTCGAAGCGCTGGCGGGCACAAATACGCGGATTACGGTTCAGGAAAAATTTGAAGTAGTTGTCCGGGTTTTCGATGGAGCGGATTTCATCCTGATCGTTGACAAAGTATCTGTTCAAACCAGTTCGTTAGAAAGATCTGAGAGAGAAAAAGAGTATTTCAAAAGTTGCGCCAGGGTGTAGTAAGGAAGAGTATGAAAAGCAAACAAACCCGAGTCCCTTGAGATCCGAAGGAAATTTGGCATCCGGTGGGAGGCCAGACCAGAGACGACGGAACATGGTGGCAGTGATGAAGAAGCTGGTGATTCGCGTTAAATCTCTTGATATGACTGAGTAGGAAATTGGGAAAAAATGGCTTGATGCCCTATGCTTTTAGAGATAGAGATAGAGAATCGAGTGAAGAAGTCAAGAGCTATTGAGGTGCGATGCGGTGAGGGTGCCAAGTGCAGGAACTCCTCGTTATCTTTTGCAACAGCTCTTTGTTCTCGAGGTTAAGCATCGGCGGCCAAAAACAGAGAGTGCCATGCGCAAAGCCGTGTACCAGCTGCAAACATCCGCAGACAGAGTTGCACACGCTGGCTTAGAGATGGAGCTTTGGCCGCAACATTGACACTGGCAGCACGCGTGGGCGCAGTGACTTGGAGATCATTCAATATCGTGAAAATTCGATGCTGAATGTTTCTATTGTAGTAGTGCCATCATCCTGCCATGCGAGTGAAACACTCATGATAGCAGGATAATAAGCCATATAGATCGATTTTGGACAGTAGTCTTTCCCAGAAGTCTAATGAAGTTAAGACGCGGTACAATCTTGTCATATATTTCCTAATACTATAGGCTAGTCAAAGATCAACATTAAATATCTAGAGCTGAGCAATGAACTCTCTGTTCTAAGGGCCAGCTGCTCTCTTTGCAGATGGACAGTGTATCTGTTAGTATAAATCATTGATGTTGCTAAGGGATATCCAACTCCAACCACTGGCGCCAAATACTCCTTACGTTATGTCCTTTCATTATAAATATTCGTAAGATAAACACCCCGAAAAGAAGCAAAGATCGATTTCCATTCATCATAAAGATTAATTGGGCATGATCAACGTCAAAACGAACTGACTTGATCAAGTATTCAGCGGTTCCGAAACGGATTGCTGATGCTAAAGCGACTTGTGCTGTCACGAGCCATACTGGCGTACGCTTCTTCCATAGCGGATCGCGTGACAGACGCATCTACGATAATTAGGCATTAGCCAAGAGAGTGAGACGAGCAGCATGGGAAACTTACCATCTAAGTCGCTAAAGCTGCTACTGATGCTATGGGTTTCTTCACTGCTTCCTGGCTCTGCAGTTTGACGAGGCGACACGGGGGATGCATGATTGACATCTCTCGTCTTTGTTGGTCGCAGCACCGCGGGTGAACTAGCTGACGAGTCAGAGGTTTGCGAATGATAGGGCGATCTCGCAACTGCCTTTTGATTTCGCTTCGGCTTATTCCGGTCTTGCAATTTCAACGTCGACGACATGTCAGGCGACGACAATGGCGCACTATACGGCTGAAATGCAGGTTCTGATTCGTCATCCTCATCGGGTTGATAGCCGGGAGGATATGATTCCTGCTGCCCAAATCGCGGCGGCCGACGGATGATGCGAGACTGAACCGGCATTGACTCATCGTCGGACGAGGAACTTGAGCTATTATCGGCTGGGCCAGGAGAATCCGCCTTGGCGACTTCAGCAGCAGGCTGTTCGGGAGACCTTGGAGATCTTGGTACTGGCGATTCCATTGGCAATGATGATAGCCGTTTCCGCCCTGGTTCAGCTGCTCGGAGGCTAGGCTTGCTGCCCATTCTAGGAATTGCGCCTCCACCATCTCTCATCACCGTCGTGGTCGCCGAGGTGTTGCGCGACATGGTCGGGCGAGCCGGCGCATTGGATGCAAACGTGCCGCTCTCATTGCGCAGCGCAGACACATCGCGACGTATAGACAGAGCTGACGGCGTCCTCAGATGGCCTAGACCCGCTAAATCGACTCCGGGTATGGGTGACTGGGTAGCAGAGCCCTTGACCGCGGCGGTTGCTTTTCTCACTTGGGCGCGAAAGTGTGACTGATGTCGTTCGTTGAGGTAGGCTACCTGCTGCACTAGAAAATCGACGGGGACTTCGAATCGGTCGGCTCTGGGCATGGTTAGTGGGCAGCTCAGGAGAATGGATCGACACGGCTTTGATAGATGGCATACACTAGATTCCCTGTACATTGTTAGCAACTCGAATATGCTTCCGTCCTCTGGGCCATCACCACCAAGGGTCGTATCATACAGTCAATTTCCTTGTGTCCGGAGAGAATCTTCCACAGGGCCTCATCTTTGGCGACGTCCCAGCTGACCTATGTAGAAAGAGATAAGGTGTTAGCAGGCCTGGTGCGGTGTTGTCACTGCTGCATGTGGTACTAAGGGCGTTAGTACGAGACACATACCGGCGCTGGATCGACAAAGCCCCGACGAGGGATGGGCACCCTGATGAAGACGGTGTATTGCGGTTCTTCCATGAAGCTGCGTGGCGCCTCAGACGGAAGATTGCAAAGGAGCAGAGATGGCGATGGCGATGGTGATGGAGATGGAAAGGGCTAAGAATGAAGCTTTCAGCAGCTGCTAGGAGTCCTGGGTCTCTAGTGACATGCTAACAGTAGTGGGCAGATGCCTGCATGAGCAAAGTTACAGTCCCATGTAGCGCCTGGCGGCTGAGCGTGCCGAACTTAACGGGCTGCATTAGCGCCATCCGCCACTACAAGGCACCAGACGCTGTAGGTACCGCGCCGCTGGCAGCAGGGGCATTGAGATTGATGGATTCAACACAGCATTGAATTACATGTATATCACAGTCTGGGACTTTGCAGTATCCTGTATATGTTGGGTCCTCTGTGGAACTGTACCCATAATCTGCCTCCCCGATCTCGCATCTCCTTGGATTTACAATCTACAGCGTGCCTATATCGTAATCTGAGCAAACTCCCAGTTCTTCCATCTGGCGATGATGTAATTTGAGCTGTATCGACGCTGACACACGATCTATTTGTCTGAGCCACAGCGAGACACAAAATAAAGGGTGATTTAAATTATCGAAAATCGCAGAACAAGATTTCAAACCTACAACTACGATAAGCAAATTAATAGAGCATAGCTTCCATCTAGCTGCATGCCCACCAGCATTGAGTCACGATTAAGGTTCAAATAGCGACTTGATGCTAGCCAAGCCATTTGCTGCAGTTGTGTCCGTCAACGGTATGAATCAATATTCCGGCTGGCTTCAACGCAATAATCAAATGGACGTCTATGTATTAGAAAGTTTATGAAGAAGAAGAAGAAGAAGCACGCAACATTTAGGGACAGATGAACAAACTCCGTGTAGTACATGATAGTATGAGGTAGCGGTCGATTGAAGCCCCGATGCACTTATACTGCGTTAACGCAATGCGTAAAGTACCACTTCTCAGCGGAATGTAACCATAAGCTGCTACACCACATCCAGCATACAATACAACCCAAACCGCCCAGCCACCAACAGCCACTCTTACCTGTCTCCCATCGATGAATAGCACCAAATGCCTTTGCCCATTGCATCCGAAATGGCGCATTCACGACGTCGATTCGTCCGGCGCAAGCCCAACAGGACTCTCGATTGGGTCTAGGGTAGCGCCATAATCAAGCCCCTCGGCGGGGTTGATAGCGGTGCCCCCAGAATATAGCGAGTAAGCTACCTGTAGGTATTATTCCGTCATCGCCCAACACCCAACCCAGGCTCCCAACTTTCTGGACATCTTTCCCACGTTCTACTGATTGAATCGCGATAAGATCCAGCGCCTTATCTGATCAGGTACTGCCACTATCGCTATCTACCTACCCTGCCATTCTTGACTTCAATATTGCCGTCGCATCCAAGCGCGAGAGCTTTAGCGCATAGCTAATGCTCTCATCTAGACACACGATCACGCATATCATCTAACACCTTGGGAGAGTTGCGAAAATAAAGCAAATTCACCGCTTGGCGGGGGAGCTGACAGGTTGATCAACTACCTACACAAGAGCAACACCGACAACAATCACCTCGACGACGAATCTCAGTCGCCATCATGGTTGTCTCCGAGTTGACAGCATCTGCTGTCGCCATGAAGTCCTCGCCGCCGTCGGAGAGAGGAGACAGCAGCGGCGGCAGTGTAGAAGCTCAACTACCGCCTCTCCAGAATCGCGCAAAAGAAGGCGGCTCGCCGTTTGTCAAGGGCTATAGCGATAGCCTTGTGACATGGCAGCTGCTGGACGATGAGTCTGTCGAAAGAGCGCGGAGAGAGAATAAGCTAATCTTCTTGCACATTGGATACAGAGCGTGCCACTGTGAGTCTTGCGCCAGATGGAAACCTCATTTTCGTGCCTCACGGGGCCAATCTCGCTGACACAAATAGTCTCTCGCCTCATGGCACTCGAATCCTTTATGAACTCCGATTGCGCTGCCGTCCTCAACCACTCATTCATCCCCATCATCGTCGACCGCGAAGTGCGCCCCGATATTGACACCATCTACATGAACTACGTCCAAGCCGTGAGCAATTCTGGAGGCTGGCCGCTCAACCTCTTCCTTACGCCCGAACTGGAGCCCGTCTTTGGTGGAACGTACTGGCCGGGCCCAAGCGTAGCAAGGAGAGCTGCAGAGGACCACGGCGACGAGCCCTTGGATTTTCTGGTCATCGTGAAAAAAGTGCGCAATATCTGGAAGGATCAGCAGGCAAGATGCCGTAAAGAGGCAACCGAGGTCATCGCCCAACTGCGTGAATTTGCGGCCGAAGGCACTCTGGGGAAACGAAGCATCGCGGCTCCACAGCAGCAGCAGATCGCTCCGGCTGGCTGGGCTGCGCCGGTGTCCAATCAGCCCGTGGCCAAGGTGAGCGACAGTACGGATGTTTCCAGCGAGCTGGACCTTGACCAGCTTGAAGAAGCTTATACGCACATTGCTGGAACCTTTGATCCGGTGTATGGAGGATTTGGCCTGGCGCCCAAATTCTTGACACCTCCCAAGTTGGCCTTTCTTTTGAATCTGGTCAACTTCCCTGCGCCTGTTCAGGATGTCGTGGGTGAGGCTGAGTGTAAGCATGCACTGGATATGGCTCTGGATACCTTGCGCAAAATCCGAGACGGGGCGCTGCATGACCACATTGGAGCCACTGGATTTGCACGATGTTCGGTTACACCCGATTGGAGCATACCCAACTTTGAGAAATTGGTCGTTGATAACGCTGAGCTTCTACAGCTGTACCTAGAGGCATGGAGAAAGAGCGGCGGAAAGGAAGACAGCGAATTTTACAATATCGTTATCGAGCTCGCCGATTATCTGACTTCGCCGCCTATTGCCCTTCCGGACGGTGGTTTCGCCTCGTCCGAAGCTGCAGATTCGTATGCCAAGAGAGGCGACGCCGATAAGAGGGAGGGAGCCTATTATCTATGGACACGGCGTGAATTTGCTTCCGTCGTCAACGCTGATGACAAACACATCAGCGCCATAGCTGAAGCATATTGGGACGTCCAAGAGGATGGAAACGTGGACGAGGATCATGACCCGAATGACGACTTCATCAACCAAAACATTTTGAGGATTAGAAAAACGCCGGAAGAGCTCAGCAAGCAGTTGAATGTGCCCGTTGCTACTGTGAAGCGAGATATAGAAACTGCTCGGGAGGCGCTCAAGAAGAGGAGAGAAAAGGAACGACCGCATCCAGACGTTGACGATAAGATTGTCGCTGGATGGAATGGTCTGGTGGTATCAGCTTTGATACGAACGGCGGCTTTTCTGAAGGAGCTGCAGCCAGAGAAGAGCCGAAAATATCTCAGCACAGCCAAGAAGAGCATATCGTTTATTAAAGAAAAGCTGTGGGATGAGAAGAACAAGATCTTGTACCGGATATGGAGCGATGGAAGGCACACTGAAGGCTTTGCGGATGACTATGCGTATTTGATTCATGGTCTTTTGGATGTTTTTGATGCCACCGGCGACGAAAGCTACCTCGAGTTTGCCGACAATCTGCAGAGTAAGACTTCAACTCCTGACTCCAGAGTCCTTCACAACTAGACCCAATTATACTGACACTCTCTATAGAATCACAAAACGCCTTCTTCTACGACTCTGCCGGCGCCTTCTACTCAACAACCCCGTCTTCCCCTCACACCATCCTCCGCCTCAAAGACGGCATGGACACCTCGCTCCCTTCAACCAACGGAGTCTCTGTTTCCAATCTGTTCCGCCTTGGCGAGCTCTTAGCGGATGAAAAATTCACCAGGCTCGCGCGAGAGACGATCAACGCTTTTGAGGCAGAGATGTTGCAGCACCCGTGGCTGTTCCCCGGATTACTGGGAGGTGTGGTTGTGGCGAGATTAGGATTGGGACTGGAAGGGAGAACTGTGGATGTGCGATACAAGTCAACGCGACGGAAAGCGTAACTGGAGTTTACAAATCACAGCTTTTTCTTACAGTTGGTTCCTATGTGGCGATGTGTTTTGAATAGGGGAAGTCGGATTACTCGAGGAGTCTTTTTTCTTCTTCTTCTTACAGGCCCTTTCTTTGGCTCTTCTTTGGTTTTCAGGGAATTTGAATGGTTTGAAAAAGGGTGTCTCGGTGGATCATGCTTTATTGATACTCAAGAGACTACAGTGAAAATAGACGTGTTATTCGGGTTCAAGGGTATCTCTTCTACAAAAGTGTATGTATGCCTCTTCCTCATCACGCCCAACCTACCTTATTACCTACCTACCTAATACCCTAACCTTCCTCCTCCCTTTGACCAGATTAAATCTTTTTGTTTCCAAAGCCCAGCTTTCCTTTCCCCCCTCCCAAGAAAATTCATCATCATCATCATCGTCCGAGTTGAATCTACATACAGAAAAGACATTTGCCCTCCATCTTTTTTGTTACGTGTATGTATGTGTGTGTGCTCGTTCTCCAAATGCTCGCTCGTGGAACTTGCCGCTTAATCAGAAAAAAAAAGACAAGAAAGATGATATTTTTTACCCGCCAAGCTTTGAAGATGATCATTAAAAAACTAACCAAACTGGAGAAAACAATTTGAAGAATCTCCGTCATGCTCGATCCCCGGTTGTCCTATTCATTAATCCCGAAAAGAAGTCGTGAAGCTGCTCGTTGTCAAAGTCTTTTGCTATGTTGCCAACGGCGGCTTCTGGTTCAGCCGAAGGAGAGTCGGTTGCGATATGTGCGTTGCGGTCCTGTCGAAAATGTTAGTTAGATGATGGGAACAAATCTTCATGCCGAGATGAAATCCTACCTTAAGGCGTTGCAACATATCGTCAGCATCGACCTGGATACCGCCCATGTTGAATTGCACCGGACCGATATGCTCATTCACAGTCTTCTCGTCATTGAACTCTAGTTTCCTCGTTGAGCTGGAAAGAGGGCTATCCGTAGCCTTCTCGGGTGCCTTTGACTTGTACGCATCCAAAATTTTCAGCTGCCGTTCAAGGAATTCCTGCGTATCCTCGCTTTCAATTGCGATTTCTGAGCCGTCGTTCATCGCGCTCTCTACGACGGCGAGTCCTCCACTGTTCGGATCTCTGCACCACTCTTCGTAGAGGGCAATGGCACTCTCGATTTGAGGGGGCTGGTTTGAACCATTCTCATCGTCATCCTCGGGATCAGGAAATGCCATGCTTGGGGGAGCGGCCCCAAGAGGTAGCTTGATATCCTCGGACCAGTATTGAGATACCTTTTCTGTGTCAAATGAGCCGCCAAGAACTCTAATCTTGCCCCATGAGTCCCAGTTCGGCGGCACGACAATCTTATCTCGGTCAATCACATTGTGTTTCAGGGGCTGTCGCTTTAGGAGAGATGTGATGCCGAGGGTGGAGTGAATAAGAATAGGCAGCTGAGAGGTCGTACTCTGTGAAGTGTAAATGAGAGAAGCACCGTCTAAATTATGTTAGACACCAAAAGAACAGCATATATTTCAAAGATGGATGAAATACTTACGTCGCAATAAGACTGTTCGTAAATTCTGCAGAACTGCGTCAAAGTCCGGCTCTTTCCACCCCTTGCTCTTTTCTAGAAAATCGATTTTTTGTGACTAAGGTCTGTTAGAATAGAGAGCGTAAATAATGTAATGTGTCCCCGACTTACATTCTGACACACCACGCACAATGGCAGGCCAAGAGGCTCAGTCCACTCGCCTGGACCAAGCGGCAGTGAGCCATCGCTATCGCCGTTTGCGACGGTGGCGGAGGGAGTACCGTCCAGGTTGACCGAAGAGCTTCCTCTGCCCCTCTCTTTCCAAGCGTTCATGACATCCTCCATTTCGGTCTGCACATCTCTACTCAGGTGTTCCAAGACCTCTTGGAATACTTGCAGCCAGGTCCAGATTTGACGAAGCCACAAATGCGGTTGCGACCAATCCAGCAGTATTACCAGCGCAGTATTCGGTATCGTTTCGGGCGTGAGCAAGGGGGCAACGAGCGAAGCGAATTCGCCTGACGGCTGGGAAAGAAGGTAGAGAGATACTCGAGCAAGTGTATCTATCAACACTATTAGTCACCAACGGCATTCACACAATCGGGCGGCTCGACGCGGACTAACCATCCTGATCTGCGTCGAGAACATCATAGTACGTATAACCCAAAGCATAATTGTTCGCAATCGGCGGAATCTTTTGTCGGTCGAAGTTGCGCTTCGGTTCAGATCCTGACAGAGACTCCAGGAACTCTCGCTGCGATTCCGGAGTGCCTCCTGAGTGTACGGTCAGCTACCACCTGAAAGCTGGAGCAATCTTCCATGAGGAGGGCGCTTCCATACCCATGACTAAAAGGTTCTTTTCCGGTAATCGCTTGCCGCTGGCAACTGACTCTAGCATGGAAGTCCACAAATTCCTCTTTGGCTCGCCATCTTGACTGCCGCCGTCCCTTGATGTCATCGTATATGTTGATATCCTGTTCGCCATGGTCACAACCCCCGCACCTCGGAGATGGTAGCTTCACTAAACCAGAAATGCCTGCAAGAAGAGATAGAAGAGTTCGCCTAGTCAAAGCACATGCGTGGTCGTCCGTATTGAGCGCGCTGACTTTGTAGCCGAGAATATTATAGGGGCAAGGCGCGCGCTTGATGTCGTTGCAGTCTGAAGGTGGGATGATGGAGATCTAGGGATGTTGGTGGAGCATCTTGCTGCTGAAGATATACCGACGGTGATGCGACGTGGCGGAGATAGCCTCTGCGCCGGCAGACTACTCGTCAATATCTCGTCTAGCTCCGGCTTGAGTATTAGGAACAGGACGACACAAGTCTTCGAGACAAGAATATTTACCCAGAGCTTGCGGCAGAAGCTCCTCGCTCAGGGTCGCTGCTTGAGCTTGTCGGTCCGGGAGATGACCCGGCACAGTACAGCTCTCAGCGCTAACGAAAGCCCGAACAGCGGTGGCCTTTAGGTGCCATTGCAGCTCGTAGCCTTGCAAGTTAGCAGCTACTGTAGATCGCTAGGTACATTTCAGCCTTGCATGACATCTGCGATAATCTCTGCCTTGCAACACAGCACAACGTCCTTTTTTTGCAATATTTGTTGACAAAAAATCTTGCTTATTGAAGCAGTCACCATGAATCAGATACGCGCCATTCAGGCGCTCAACAAAAAAGAGATTGAAAATGGAATGTGAGTCTGCTGTACTTAAACCCTCCGCCAACCATCAATTGCGAAGCGCAAAAAGCTAACATGCTCCAAGTTCACCAGACGCGTCATGGCATGTAGATTATCGCGACACAGCCTTTGTCTATTTCGGCGGCCTCCCATATGAACTTTCCGAAGGAGACATCATCACAATATTCTCCCAATTCGGCGAGCCGGTATTCCTCAAACTCGTGCGCGACAAGGAAACGGGAAAATCCAAGGGCTTCGGCTGGCTGAAATACGAAGACCAGCGGAGCACAGATCTAGCAGTGGACAATTTAGGTGGTGCTGAGATTGGCGGCCGGCTATTACGAGTTGACCATGCTCGGTATCAAGCCCGAGACGACGAAGACCAAGACGAATACAAGATTGGCTGGGAAGATGTCCAGCGCAGAGAGGGCAAACCTGTGTCCGACGATGAGATGAGCGAAGAGGAGGAAGTTCAGAGACCAATGCTACCGGAAGAGAGAGAACTGGCTCTGTTGATGCGAGATCACGACGACGACGACCCGATGAAAGGCTTCTTGATTGAAGAGAAGAAGAAGGAGGTGGAAGATGCGCGGCGGAGAGCTGATAGGAAAGAGCCATCAGACAGGCACAGACACCACAGACACCACAGATCAAGACGAGACAAAGGAGATGATGGCCGACACGAGAGAACTCGGAGGGAAGAGGGATCGGAGAAAGAAAAAAGACCTTCAGAGAGAGAATCAAGACGAGAAAGATATCGAGATGACTCGAGAGAGCGCCATAAGCGGCACAGAGATGTTTCTTGGGGAGATTCTCAAGAGCGGGATAGGCGGCGGGACAAGAAGCCTGAGGACAGACGATCACATAGAAGAGATGAGGACGGCAGGTCAAACAGAAGAGACGGCGACAGACGAGATGATGACCGGGAAAGACGCAGGAGAAGGAGAGAAGACGACGACGACAAAGAACGTAGGAGAAATAGAAGCAGATCTCCACGGCGCCGTCAAGATTAACATCTAGTTCAAAGCTACAACTATAGTGCCCAACAGGGCGATTACCCAAAATATTCCCCCGTCTCTTTCCAAACATAACTATTGCTGCCCACCCAAAACGCCATGTCTCCGTTGCATGTGAATCAAATCATTCGTTTACCCTTGGATATCTCTTCCTTCTTCCTTGCCTTGTCTCATGAATTCCCTAGATATCGTTTCCAGCCTTCGCGGACGCAGTGCCGCTTTCCGTCATCGCCATCGACCAATGTGAATTTTTCCCATCGTGCGTCTTGACCTGCGCCAATAACCGCAAGGCTATCCTCGCTGATCCATCCAATAACTCCCTTGGGAGGCCGTGTGGTTCCCAACACGGTGCCCTCTGTGAAGGGTATGCCGCCAATCATGGACTCGTTACCGGCCTCGAAGGGTACTGAAGCAAAAGAGTAGACGTCGGAAAACATTCGCGGCATAAGGGGGATTTTACTGAGAATGCCCCATTTCCCTACATCTGCGTCTGAGCCTGCACTTCCTGGCTGCGGGCTACGATGAGCGCTCGGCCGCCGGGGATGGGGTACGTCGAAGATGTGAAGCGTGGATTTGTCAGATGTGCAGGCCAGTAATGATCCAGACGGGGAGAAGGCGAGGGAGAAAATGGTTGCTGGGTCGATCCCCCTGCGAAGTTCTGCTAACCTGGCGCAGTTGCTAGTCGAGTATACACGGATAAGAGTTCCAGTCTCGCTGGCGCTGGCCAGCAACTCTCCGTCTGCACTTAGCTGAATAGCTTTGAGGGCAGATGAGTGAGCCGGGATGATGCTAACATTACCCGTGCCAAGCTCTACGAGCTGGATCTGTCCCGTTGTGCGGCCTGGGAAGGCAAGCTTCTTATCTGAGAGACAGCATAGGCCGAGGACGTTATCGGCCGTCTCGTATACGTGAAGCAGCTCTGGAGGCTTAGCGAAGGAGTAGACGCGTACGCTATTCTGGAGGACGACGACAATGCGATCCCTACTCAGCTGGACGCCCCGGATAGCACTGAGAGCTGAAATTTCCAACGCAATTTTGCCTTTCATGTCATCCCATATGATGGCCTAGAAACATGCCCAATCAGATATCCATTCTTGATGATAGTGCTGCAGGATAAATAGGAATAGATACCTTGTTCATGGCAAACTTTGGAGATTTACCGCCGCCAACAAGAGCGAGGTAATTTGTCGTCCCCATCATCCGTACCAGGCCGATGCCGGCATTGAAATCTCATCGGATGTTAGCTGCATTGCGTATAAATAGCCAGTATGTGCCATGATCATCACGTACCTCTTGATGCTTTGAGCAGACATGATTTGGTATGAAACACTATATATCATGTGGCGATCTCATGGTCAGCTGGCTAAAAAGTCCGGTTTTCATCAAATGGTCCGCTATTTGGCATCTTACCGCATATTCCTGACTCCAAACCCACGGAAAAACAGCTAGAGTCTTTGTTGAAGGCCACAGATAGAACCGCCGTGGGAGAGGATGCCTCTATAGGCGGTCGTACATTCATCGCGGGGAGAGAGCGGTTTCACCCGAGAGGGATGTGCAAAAAGATGAGCGAAATAGAAACGAAAAATAGAGAGAAATTCAAACAAGCCTTGAGCGGGATAGTTTCTCGTATCACTCGTGCTCTAGATGAAGGAACAGTTGCTTCCTGGCTTCGTACACAAAGCGTTCACGCTGGGGGTATCACTGGGTATGTTCGGATGTTGTTGACGGCGATGCCCAGCAGCTCGGCAATCTTGGGTGGACTCTGCGGCGCGCGGTGGTCGGTCACTGCAGCTGGGGCCCCGCCAGCTATCGGCTTTAGAGGCTGGAATTACCAGCAACATAAGCTTGAACGCTGGCCGTCAGCAACGAAGGGCATGAATGCATCTGCTACGGCGGTCCTTGGAAGCGCATGGACGCACGAGGATGGAGAAGGGAGAGACTGTGAACGATAGGGTTGCAGACGCTGCGAAGGGCACATGCACCTGGCTGTCAAAGTTAATGGCGACTCTACGGCGCGAGATATGTGCATATGCGTACATGTACCGTTGAACTTTGCTGCTATTTGAAGTTTACTAAGGCGGCTACTGTAAGCTGGTACCAGACTACAGTGCAGTACTGCTGCTAATTGTAGACGGGAGCTGATGCGGAGCGACCCAGGCCGCGGGCATTTGGTGCTGGAGTTGCCGTGGGGGGCCGCTGGGCGCGTGGCCTTATAGCGGGACAGCACACTAGACATGAGTGGCCCGGCTGCCCCTTTCAATCTTGAGTCGCGATATGCATCTTGGAGTATTGTAAAGTGCGGACTGGGGGCAATGCCGGATATGAGCAAGCACATGTGCGGTAGAAATAGTGTATGAGAACATTGTAGCCATGTACTTAGCCATAGAGAGCTGTAGTATCGCCAAAAAGACACAGAGACCGTTAGTTGAGCAGATAAGACGCCTTGGATGCCCTGTGTAGATGGTAATACGAGTTGGAGCAAGTCTTCAAGTGTACATGTAATTAATTGCTGCGTAGCATTTGAATACGAGGCGGCTCAATACCGTCTAGCACAAAGCGCAGTATGTTGGCAATTTTCTGGGGAACAGGGCCAGGTGCCTAATACAGGTAGGTCCCTATAAAAGGCCACTTGGGCATTTTCTCAAGCATACATGCAATCTTCGCTTGCTCGTATTACCTTATGCCCAACCAGCCAGGCATATGATAACCGCCCATTTCGTAAAATCAAGATGGAATGAGGTGGTGTGAAGCAGAAAGAAATTTGATGGCGAGATTCACTTCAGTATTATCAAGTCTGCACGTCTCCTTCTGTATGCTGTGCTCCCAGATGAATTTCCGTAGCCTCGTACGGAGTACTGTACTGCTATTTCTCTGTCCGGGTGCATCTGTTAGTGCGTTTTGGGATTGCATGATTTCCAGCCTAGGTACTCCTGCAGTATTTTCTTGAGAGCCAGCACTGCCGTTCCCCGCGCGGCACTGGCAGCAGTACCTCCGCTGTACCTAGCGCCTAGTGCCAACCGCCGCCGATTCTCGTTCGTAGTAGGGAGCTACAGGCCAGGGCCGTGGGTAGGGGCGGTCTGCTCTTCTGGGCCTAGCTGGTGGCCCCCCCTGAACTGAAGGTCCAACCCGACAGCTCTGCAGGCGTGAAATTGGACTCGCAAACGCCAGATACAACGCCTTCTTCCCCTTTAGCTAGCACTTCCCCTGGCCTCTAATCACCGCCACCAAACCGCCCCAATTCTTCCATCTTTTTCCCCCATCAAGAGCTTCGTCTTGACCCATTCCTCTCTCTTCACTCTCGTTGCTTCTGCATATCCTCACCCACCGTTTCAAGGTCCCTCCCTCCCTCTACAGTCGCCTCTCATGATGTCCTCCGTACGTCCAATTTCCCGTCTCCCGCAAATCTTTTTGGCGTGCCATTCCAAGAATAGGGATGCACATGCGTCGCTTCCAAGACATGCTCGTCAGGGCGATGCTGCGGCCCACGCCACGGCTTTTGGCACGAGAACGCGAAGAAACTAACCGCTGTTGACGCCATAGAAGGTAATCCGCCGAAAGAAGAATGTCAAGAAGGGCATTCAGTTCTGCCTGATGGTGTGTGGTGCCTCTGGCACTGGTACGTCGCTGCCCTACCCATTCGCGATACAATTCGCCCGCCCGCAGCTTCAAAGGGGGATTTCCAGACTCACATTGTGCCTCTGTAGGCCGAACTACCTTTGTCAACACGCTCTGTGGCAAGTCTGTTCTCGAGCATAAGGAAGCCGACGATGCTTCCAACGCGCACATTGAGGAGGGCGTCAAGATCAAGCCCCTTACGGTTGGTACGTGATTTCAGACTCCATTACTGTGGTTTTCTGTCCAAATTCCGCTAATTGCTTCATCAGAGCTTGAACTTGACGAGGAAGGCACCCGAATCTCGCTGACCATTGTCGATACCCCTGGATTTGGCGACCAGATCGACAACGAGGCCAGGTTAGCCCCGCCCAAACACCCTTCACCCATCACCCATATCTCGACGCATGCACGCTAAACCATCAATTATAGCTTTTCAGAAATCGTTGGCTACCTCGAGCGACAATACGATGATATTTTGGCCGAAGAGTCTCGTATCAAGCGTAACCCTCGCTTCAGGGACAACCGTGTCCACGCCATGCTTTATTTTATCACCCCTACCGGCCACGGGTAAGCTTTTTCCTTGTGTCACCCCAGTGGCTTGTCCGCTAACGCGTCGTGGTCGCCAGGCTCCGAGAGCTCGATATCGAATTGATGAAGCGTCTTGCGCCCCGTGTCAACGTTATTCCCGTCATTGGCCGAGCCGATACTCTGACCCCTCAGGAGCTTGCAGAGTCAAAGAAGCTGGTCATGGAGGACATTGAGCACTACAGGATTCCCGTTTACAACTTCCCCTACGATATCGAGGAGGACGATGAAGATACTGTTGAGGAGAATGCCGAGTTGAGAGGTCTCATGCCTTTTGCCATTGTTGGCTCAGAAGATGTGGTCGAGATTGGGGGCCGCAAGGTCCGTGCCCGCCAGTACCCATGGGGTGTCGTTGAAGTCGAGAACCCTCGTCACTCAGACTTCTTGGCTATTCGATCAGCCCTTCTGCACAGCCACCTGGCTGATTTGAAAGAAATCACCCACGATTTCTTGTATGAGAACTACCGTACCGAGAAACTATCTAAGAGTGTGGATGGCGGTGCCTCTGGGTAAGTACAGTTGTGATCTGCTAGCATCCTTCGCAAACTAATGTGAGAACAGACTTGATAGCTCCATGAACCCTGAGGACTTGGCTTCCCAGTCTGTCCGCCTCAAGGAAGAGCAGCTCCGACGAGAGGAGGAGAAGCTGCGCGAGATCGAGCTCAAGGTCCAGCGCGAGATCAACGAGAAGCGACAAGAGCTGCTGGCGCGCGAATCGCAGCTTCGCGAGATAGAGGCCCGCATGCAGCGCGAGACTGCCGCCGCCCAGGCGTCCCCCGCGCTGGATACCAGTGTCACCGAGGAGTAGATTCTCTCGAATCACATATTAGGTCTTTCTTCGGCATTATAAAAGTAAATTGCGACGTTGGTCTATTTATCGCTGCCGGCGTTGGGTTTTACCTCTCCTACACAAACTGAAGAGCAAAGAGATGAGAGCACCCCTCTCCCAGCTGCTGCAGAATCGAGTTTGATTTTTACTTTTTCTATCTGTTTAATTTATTGCGACCTACGACAACTCGAGAAGTGACCTTGGTGGTTGAGCGAGAACAGGGGCTGAGGGAAGGGGAGTTTCATGGTGGAGTATACGGAGAGGATGAATGCCGTTGGAACAAGACGACGTATACCCCGACGAAGGAGGGTCTCTCGAAGTGGCAAAGGTGGAAATATGCGGCTACTCGGCATAGCATTATGCGAAGCAGAGCTATATGCGTGCTTTGGCATCTTTTGGGAGTTTTCGTATTGCTGCCCAGCCTCTTTCTGTACACCCTCGCAAGGTATCCTAATTTTTTTAAAGCTGCATCAGTAGCCATCTGTTGTTAAATGTGGTACCCCTGTTTTTTTAACTGCCTTTTTTTATTTATTTCTAGCTACTGTAGTGGACTTCTAATGCAGGTATCAAATACATTCAAAACCTTTACGTTTAAAAACAGCTTGTCTTTGGTTAAACTTGGTCAAATCGAATGTTTGATGAATCGAAAGGAGCTATTTATTCCATTCAATACACTGAGAATCTGTTGCGCAACAAGAGAAGAAAGACTGAAGGCAACAACCATAAGAAACAAGAGAGAAGAGATGAGAGAAAGAAACGAAAAGACAAAAGGAAAAAAGAATAGCAATAATTATCCGGTGCACTCCTGTCTCACTTTAACCCATTATCCTACATTTGCGGAGAAAAAGACAAAAATCACAATAAAACACCCGACAGCCCATTTGAGCCTTAATCACAATCTTGGAGCTCCTGCATGAAGCACGAGCCGAGTCACAAACAACCAGCAGTTCACCAGCTTTAGTTGTTAGACTGGCTGTTGAGAATGCGCAGAATAGCGAGGAACAGGTTGATAATGTCGAGGTACAGGCTGATGGCGGCGGCAATCTCCTCCTCGACATGGTGGTGGCGCATAATCATCTGCGTATCAACAAGGATGTAGCCGCTAAAGATGAGGGCCGCGAGCCCGCCGTAGATGAGTTCGCCGGTGGAGCTGTAGGGGAAGAACATTGCCATGAAGCCGAAGATGACGAGTCCCCAGAGGGCGCCGAACAGGTAGGGCATCCATGAGGTGAAGTCGTACTTGGACTGGCTGGCAAAGGCCGTGAGGAAGACGAAGATGCCGGCGGTGATGATTGTCGCGCTGAGGACGATGCGGGTGTTGTAGAAGGAGACGATGACGGAGATGGAGTAGGCTTCGGTGAGGGTGAAGAGGGAGAGGAAGAGGAGGTTGGTTGGGTAGGATTTGCGCTTCCAGTAGGTGAGACCCATGAAGATCATGGCGCCGAAGAGCTGGAAAACGACGAGAGGTTAGCTATGTACATAGAGTGTGGTGTATTGGGGGCGAAACAACGTACCGATGCCCAGACAAGGGCCGGGTGGCTTTGGATCCAGTTCTTGTATGCATCGCTGAAGAAGCTGATGGAGCCGAGGGCCGCAGTAGCGATGAGTTGGACGGTGAGGATGCTGTAGACCTTGCGGACAAATTGGTTGCGAATATCGACGGTGGCTTCAGCGACAGAGCCTCCAAACTAGAAGAACAAGTGACGTCAGTACAAGAGACCATTTTCCCTGTTTCTAGATATAAAGCAGAATAAGAGGGTTCATAAGATGTTGGGATTAGAAGGACAGCGGAGCGGCGAAGGCATGGCCGTTCTTTTTGCAACGTACCTTGAAGTCGTCGGGAATGTTGTCATCGCTGCTGCGCGGCTGGGCAAACAAGCCAGGATCGTGCGCCGACGACGAACCCTCGGCTGCGGTGCTGCCGTACGCGGGCGGTGCGTGGGTGTAGTCGTCGTCGGGCTCCTGCTGGGCGGCGGGCTGGTATTTCGCGGTGGACGCCATGGTTTCGCTCCTCAGTAAGATTTGTTCGTGGATGTTGAAAGGAAGATTTCGTTGTTACAAGATCCAAAGGAGACGCAGGAAAGGTGATCGCTGTGGCGGAATGAATGATGTCGACTAGGAATCACTGGGTCAGGTGGGGAAAGTGGCTGATGGGAGGCGGCTTTTTTGGAGAGTTGCTTTGGGTGCCTGGAGGGTTGATGTGGCTGTGCAGGAGATTATGGTGGAAGCCTGCTGAGATGTGATTGGCTGGAAGCTGGAAGCTGGAAGCTTCTGAAGCTTTGGTCCCCTAAAAAAAGCCGGTATGGGAAGAAGCTCGGGCTAGCACTAGGCGAGATGTCTGCTGCAGCTTAATATTGACATGCTGGCACAGAACCCATAGAATAAGGCAGTCCAAGTAGATTCCGTCTTGGACCCGCGCGGACATGCAAGATGGGATTTCCGTATGGGGCAAGTATGGAGTACCTATCCAGTAGTCACAATTACGGGAGAGTTTGATTGCTTTTCAAGTGCTACCGCCAAGCACTTTGATCCCCGCCTCGTGCGCTGTAATAATCTTGGATATGGTAAGCTGTGGCATAAGATGGAAAACCCTTGCGTAAATCAGGGTCTACATTAGGGTTGACTTTGTATTTTTGAGGTGGTACAGAGTATGCGCGAAAGGAATATCATTGGTTTTAGCTAGTACGAGGATACTTTGTGTTTAGTTTGGCCCTGATTGCTGCCAACAGAAAAGGGGGGCCTTGTTATGAGCATATTAATGACTGTGTTTAAATTTAATTCCTGCTTCTTCAGATGGACATCCGTGTATAAAGTGGTCAGCTGAGAGTGTCTTTGATATAGATAAAATGCTGTTAATGAACCCTGTTCAGGAGACTTGAAAAAGGCGACTCAACTTCACCTATTGCTTATTTTATTCAAGTTGATCGGTCTGCAGGCATATGTCATACTAAGAGACAGAAAAGAAAGCCTGCTGTATCAAAATGGGTTGAGCCATTTGCAGACCCTTCAGGCATCCATACGCTGCAAATGATCAGATGACAGTGGGATATGCGTATTATAGAAGCTCCGCCGTTAATCATGTCATGGACGCAAATTGTAGGCCCCACCCCCACTTGATCTTGGTTGACTAAGATGAGATTTATTTAGATGTTAAAGAAAGCTGTTTGTCAAGCAATAGTCTTGGAGATAGTAGCAGCATACTATGAGTAAAACATTGCAGCGAGATGCTCTTACAGTAGCAGCAATTAACTCTACTCCCAAGGTTATTCGAACGAATGTGAGTAATTCAAAGATGTATACCATTGGATTCTTACGCAGAGGCAGATTCCTGCGCATATCCAAGAAGAGTCGCTGTGTTTCTTGCACTCAACAGCCTATACTCGGCCCACGTGTGCGGGGATTCGCAGTTCGCTGTCCTTGTGTGCTCCAAGAAGCGACATCCGGATATGGTACCCACTAGAACGCAGTCACTTCTGAGAATGACATTGAAAAGCAAATATACCTCTCTGGTTGTGTAGTATCACACAGTAATGATATTCCTTGTCATCGGAATGAGAGAGGAGTTATGGATCATCACTACCCAGTACTTGCCTTACTCGTCCAACCTACCTAGATCGCTAGACAGCTAGAGTCAGTTCGACGAAAAAGCTCGACTCGCACGGGCCTCTGAACAGTTTCAAAAGAGGAGAAATAGGCAAGTCACCATTGGTGCCCACCGCACACTATAGCCGCTTGAGGGCTGAGGTTAATTCAGGGAGGGCGAATCACCCGCTGATGGCGCATCAATTGATGGCGCATTTGTTGAGTCCAGGGGCGCCGGGGGACCTTTAGCGAGGCGGCTTCAGCACACCTCTGCAGCGCCAAATCCACTAGCGGGTCGCGCAAAGTGCCCTGTACGTGTTAGTGCATGCGGCCGACGCACCGCACTGTCACTGGTCCGTCTCCCCTCACCGCTTAAGAGTTGGCGTTTTTTTCTTGTGATGTTACTTGCATGCTGTATGTAATGAGAGCGTATTTGTTATAGTGGGACTTTTGAGAAACGTCATTTGAGCCGGGGAGGGGAGTGCCTGAGACGAAAGCAAACGAGCTGCGTCTAAAGTGTTGGATCAATGTGATGTGATGTGCAAAGCGAGCTGACTGCTCATATTTTGCTGGCACCAACGTGCAACAGCTGCTATAAGTTGGTTGTTTACTGAACAACAACAAGACATACGCTGGGAGTTGAAATTATTGATGAATGCTCCTAATTATACTAGGGCAAGCAGACGGAATACAGTACAAGTTCTCGTCTGCTAGCACTACACAGGACAGGACAAGGTACCGGCGTAACTGTGCGAGGTACAGGCACCGGCAACAGCAGGTTTTGGCTTCGTTTGACGACTTACTCGCATCTACTGCTGATCCCTCTGATCTGGCGCTCCACCGCCTTATCTGTCCTCTCTCGCTTGCTTGTTTTTCCGGGTCCAAGCCTGCGTGCCTCGTTTCGTCTCTCGTCACCCAGCAAGCTTCAATCAATTAATGGGTCTTTAAAGCGCCTGGTCTCTTCCCCTCTACTCTTCAGCAGCTCCTCAGCAGCTGTTTTTACCGAGCAATTATAGGCACCGAATCCTTCCAAAGCTCCTTTCGGGAAGCTAATCTGCAAGCTTTGGGCGCCACTCCGCAACTTGGCGCACCTGAAAAGAAAAAGAGTGTGCCAGAAAAAAAAAAAAAGTTGCCCAACCAGCAGCCAAAATAGCGAGACATCCCACCACCCCCACCACACCCTTCTGGACGGCGCCTCTAACGTCGAACCTGTCTGGACTCACCTCCGCAGCTCTCTCCATCCCTATTTTTATTTTATTCTAGCTGGTGCAGGGAGTCTCGAGTTGCTCTTTCGCGACCGCTACTTTCTTTTTTTTCCTTTTTTTTTTCTTTTTTCCGTTCTTTTCTTTCCGCCAAAGAGCTCTCGACAATATGGGCGACTCAGATAGCCTTGCGACCAAGGCTGCTGGCGAGAAATCAACCGCCAGCTCCTCTACAGCTCCCCACGGCTCGCGACTCGCCAACGGCTCTGCCAACGGGCAACGGTATATGCAGACCAATGGCAACAATGTCGTTCTCGTCCGTCGGGTGAGGCGCAAGGACGAAGGCATCTGGAAGCCTCTCGCTCGCTGGTTCGTTGAGCACCAAGTCGGTATGTTTGGATTTCTTGTTGCTTCCCCCGCAGGTAGCCGCGCACTTGAGTTGCGCTCTATAACTGTCGCGGGCTGTGTCCAGCGCAGCATTGCTATTTTTCTTCCTATACTGTGGATTAGCTATAGCATCTACTGCAATGGAACATTTGCTGACTCTTGTGTCTCAATGATATAGGCCTGTCGCTCAATCTGCTCTCTCTTCTGGTCCTTGCCCACGCCTGCATCCCCAGAGCTAGAATACACACGCGAAAGTTCTTCCACCTCTCTTACTACAATGAAGCGACTGGCAAATATGCCACCGGACAGGACGATCTCTGCTTGATTGCGGCCTTCATTGTTCTCTTCACTGGTCTCCGAGCTGGCACCATGGATTATGTCCTGGCGCCCTTTGCCAAGCTCAATGGCATCACCAACCGAAAAGACATGACTCGATTTAGCGAACAGGCCTGGCTGCTGATTTACTACATGATCTTTTGGCCTACCGGAGTGGTATGTGGCCGTGAAAAATGCCTTCTTCAAGGGGAAAGCGAGATTGCTGTGGGAGGACATGTTACTGACTGACTGTAACTACAGTATCTGTATGTCAATTCTCCCGCTTGGCTGAACATGAGAGAGATATGGACCGACTGGCCGAATCGCGAACTGGGCGGCCTCCTGAAGGGCTACATGCTTGCCCAGTGGGCATTTTGGCTGCAGCAAATTGTTGTCATCAACATCGAGGATCGCCGCAAGGACCACTGGCAGATGTTTAGCCACCACCTCATTACCACGGCCCTGATCTCGTCTTGCTACTGCTACTACTTCACCCGCGTTGGACTGTTCATCCTGGTCATCATGGACGTGGTGGATTTATTCCTTCCTGTAAGCCGCCATCCGATTGTTTAAGCTGGCCTTGATCTGATTACTGACTCGACAATCGCTTCTAGGTTGCCAAATGCCTCAAGTACTGCGGCTACAAGATGCTATGCGACTTGACTTTTGTTCTCTTCATGGTATCATGGTTTGTGGCTCGACATGTCTTTTACCTCATGGTCTGTTGGTCCATCTATGCCCACACCCCTGTTATCATGCCCAACGGATGCTTTGTTGGGCCGAATGATTCTTTGGTTGGACCTACGGAGACTCCTGCCGGCTTTGCTTACCTGATTGAACCATTTTTCAACGCGACCGGGCGTGTTTGCTTTAACGAAACCATTAAATGGGCCTTCCTCACGCCTCTCCTTCTCCTACAGGGCATTACGATTTTCTGGTTCACCATGATTATTCGGGTTGCCATCAAGGTCATTCGCGGAGACGGCGCCGAAGATTCTCGAAGCGACGACGAGTATGAAGAGGACGAAGACGAAGAGGAGCTCATCTATGAGGAGATCCACCCGCTTGAGCAAGAGGTGGGCGTGGAAGACTTGGACCTGAAGAGCTGGGAGCGACGCAACGGGCTTAAGAAGCAGGCTTCTGCCAGCGGAGTTAGCTTACCAGGACACAGCGATCGCAAGGAGCTTCTCGGCCGTATTGGTTGCGAGAAACAGGTGGAATAAAAGGGTGAAGCGAGAAAATGGAAAGCTTGGGATAGCGAGAGAAGGGGAAAGGAAGGAAGTGAACATTTATTTCTTGGGACCATGGCGTTGCGGAGTGTTTTACAACTTGCTCCTGTTTGATTTTCGATTACATGTTTTCTCGTCCCTTTCACCGAGAGGGGACACGTTTCTTTTTCTCATCAACACGAAAAACTTTGTTTGGGATATCGGGTTTACTATGTTCAATTTGGTAGGGGTTTGAATGAACCCGCCAAGGTGCTCAGATAGAGCAAGACGGGACGGGTGGTACAGATGAGATGATGCTGGAAGCCCTGATTGATACCATATGTTTATGAAAGCTGGCTGATGAGACGGCGGAAAAAAGTTGCTGTTATAGACTCTTAGAGTTGATATATCATGGTTGTTAGATATATATAGTTATGCATACATATATATATACCTTTGTGAGAAGCTCTTGTAGAAACCATTGGCATCATTGAGTATTTGCAAAATGCAAAATTAATAAACTATACAAGGCTAACATCCTATAAAATCATGTCTCAGTCCCCTAGCAAACGCTATAAACTCCCTAAACTCCCAAACAAATCCAAAAAAGATGCTATAAATGTCATATCATTAGATGTCTTTGTAAAAAAACACCATCCCAGTAAATTCCATTTTTTTGTCAGATTTTAATTTCGTTTTACTTGCTTTACCTTTCCCCCTTTCACAGCCCCTCCTCGAGCATCTCCTTGGCCATATCCTGCAGCTTAAACTTCTGAATCTTGCCGCTCGCCGTCTTGGGATAGTCTTTGACCCAGAACACATATTTGGGCACCAGATGGCTCGACAAGTTTGTGCGCACCCACCGCCGCACGTTCTCCTTTGTTAATCTCCTGGCAGCTTCGTCGTTGTTATCGATGTTGTTTGCATCGGCCGTCGTCCAGCCTTCGCTGGGAATGACAAACGCCGCGACCGCCTCGCCGAGCCTCTCGTCCGGCACGCCCGCCACGCTGACCTCCTGCACGCCGGGCAGCTGGAAGAGACAGTCTTCGACCTCGAGCGGGTGGATGTTCTCGCCGCCGCGGATGATGAGGTCCTTGATGCGGCCGGTGATGCGCACGAAGCCCTGGCTGTCCATCTCGGCCTCGTCGCCGGAATACATCCACGTGCGGCCGTCGGGCTCGGCGCGGCGCACGGCAGCGGTGCGCTCCGGGTCGCCGTAGTAGCCCTTCATGACGAGGTAGCCCGCGGCGGCGAGTTCGCCGCGCTCGCCCAGAGGAAGGACGCGGCTGCGGTCCAGCGGGTCGACAACCTTGACGGTGGTGTGCGGCATGGGCGTGCCGACGGACGAGGTGCGCTGCTTCAGGGAGTCTGAGGGCCTCGTCATGCAGCTGACGGGCGCTGTTTCTGTCATGCCGTAGCAGATGACCAGGTCGTCGAGGCCGAGGCGGCGGTAGATCTTGCGCATCAGCGACTCGGGCACGCTGCTGCCGGCGACGATGCCCTTGCGCAGGTGCTGCGGCACGGGCAGGTTATTAGCTGCGTGGTCCAGCGCCTCGAAGACAGAGACGAGCATCGTGCTGACGCCGTAGAGGCCTGTAGCCTGGTGCTCGGCGGCCATGCGGACCGTGGCGATGGGGTCAAACGCCGGCGACGGGAACAGGATCGCGGAGCCCGTCGTGGCCGTGGCCATGTAGCCCAGCACGGAGCCGAAGCAGTGGAAGAGCGGCGGCGGCACGACGATGCGGTCCGCGGCGTCCAGGCCCATGCGGTCGGCGATGAAGGCGCCGTTGTTGAGGATGGCCGTGTGCGAAAGCTGCGCCGCCTTGGGGGCCGACGTGGTCCCGGACGTGAACTGGATGTTGATTGTGTCCAGCGGATGCAGCGGCGCATCCGGCGTGACGGCGCGGTCCGAGCCCCCCTCGAGCAGCGTCCTGTAGTCGCCCAGCGCGCGGTACTGCTCGAGTTTGAAGTCGTCGACGATGCTGCTGTCGTGGTCGGCGCGGTTGTCCACCACAATGACCCGTCTCAGCGAGGGCACGCTTTCGCTCTGAATATCGCCATCCTTGCGCTGGACGTCTCCTACAATCTTCTCCAGCAGGGCCCTGTTGCTGCGGCCTCTTCCCGGGCGATAGGCGAGATCGGTGACGGCGCCGATGATGAGGACCTCTGCGCCGAGGTGGCCCAGCGCAGACTCGACCTGCTGGGCGTTGAAGCTCGGGTTCAGGGGCACCAGCACGGCCCCGATCTTAAAGAGCGCATACGTTAAGGCGGCGAACTCGGCGGTGTTGCCGAGGGAGACGGCCACGCGGTCGCCTTTGCGGACGCCGAGCGACGAGAGGGAGGAGGCGAGGCGGTTGGAGGTGCGGTCGAGGTCGTGGTAGGTGAGGGTTGTCTCGAGAGAGGAGGAGGAGGAAGAGGAGGAAGAGGATGTAGGTGAGCGGGCGATGACGGCGGGACGGTCGCCGTGGAGGGAGACGATGGAGGCGAAGTGGTCGGAGATGGTGCCTGTGAAGAGGGCGGGCTGGGAGATGATGTTAGTATAAGTGTCTATGTGTACATGGGAATAGGGGTGCTGGAGCTGAGACTGATGATTGGTGACAAGGCATCTTTGAAAGCCTATCTAGTATACTGCTGTACACAGCAGCAACAAGATATTCATCCTCTTCACTCAAAAGCAGACATCACCACTCTACTCATTCGCTCTTCTTCCCCCTCATACTCCTCCCCAGCATTTCACATATCAACTCACCTCCATCGGTCCCGTCCTTATGCTCAGCCCCTCCGTCCCCAGAAACCTCGCCGGCTGCTGCCACTCCGCTCGGCCCTGCAGCAAACTCTCCTCAAACCCAGATGTGCTTGTTGCTGTCGCCGTCGCCGTCGCTGCAGAGCTCATGGGAGCCGCTCTTCGTCTCAGCGCAGCCCGCACAGCAGTTCTGGAGCTCCGGCCGAGGAGAGGCCCGGAGCAGGCCCGTGTGTAAACGGACATTGTTTGTGTGTATTTGTTGGTGAATCTTTGTTATTTTGCCCGTGGGTATTCAAGCTCTCCTCGCCAACGTCACAGGGGGAGATGAGGACCGTATGCTATCGTGTATCGCAAATCATTCACATAGACGGACAAAAAAGAAAGGGAATAACAGAAAAAGGAAAGACGAAGATGAGACAAATAAATGAAGTAATAATATAAAAAAAGGGAAAGCAAAAACAAAATCTCACATTCCAATTTAATAATAAAAAAGAATTAACACCAAAAAAAAAAACCTGTTCTCCATCCAACACATAAGTTACATAAACTGCGTCACGCCCACACACTTCTCCTCACTTTATAACACGCGGAAGAGACACCCACGATTTTTTAAGACCGAGGGACCAGAATTTCCACAGTCCAGTCCCGCGCACAAGCGGCATTGGGGGCACTATCCACTCGCGGCTTTGCGTCTTCCCCCTTCCCCAGAGTAAAAAGTACTAAGAGACAAGAGGCACGGAAAGCCAAAGCGATCCAAAAAAGCCCACTTCGGACCGTGTTCATGAGCTGAGAGCGGGAGTCAGTTAGCATGCAGCAGTTAGTACTTAGTTTAGCATCATGGCTAACGCAGGTATTAAAAAACCAGCCACACAAAAAAGAGGGAGGCGTTACTACTTCTCCACACCGGATTCGCGAAGCTGCCTGTCTTTGGCTTTTCAGAGCTTATACGTACTGTACGTTAGAAAAGGCAAGCTCATCTAAATAGGAAAAAACGAGAGAGAAAAAAAGGCCGGGCCTTTTCCTTATTTTCTTCTCTTGCCCCTCATTCGCTCCACGAGAGAGGGGGCCAGAATTCCTAAAATGGAGGAGACTCCGTATGGGAGAAATAAGTCTTGGCCCGCAGCATGTGCGGTCCGGTTCGGGCTACAGGGGCAAGAGTACGCTTGGCTTTGCTTGCTGCTTGCTTCTTTGGGGCGGGCAGTTTTTAGAACCGCGACGGCTGATGCACGATTTCGGTGTCTAGCCGACCTGGTGTATCGTATTGTGTTTTGCAAAACGTGGCCACTTATGGAAATGCTGGGATCGTAGACAGACAGTGGATTGTGAATGTTCTTTTTTTGCTTTTGTTAATGCTTGTAAAAGAGCACCTACTAACAAGCTTCCTACACGATGTCAGCCGTGATATGCATGCCGTCTTACAAACTCAGCACTGTCCCCAAGCGGTAATATCTACATGTACGGATACAGGTATACGAATCATCATCATCACGAATCAAAAACCTTGTATACCTAATGCGGCAGTCGGTACGAAGCCCGGGAGCTCGCCTTACACAGCACGGATAAGCTCCTTAACTCTACATCTGAAGCGATCACCTTTCTCACACCGTCGGTCGAAACATGGAAATCGTGCCATCCACGGATAGCTTCTGCGGGTCCCGGAGCGAACACAGTGCCTGTGGATAAAACGCTTTAGTGACCTCGGCTCCAATCCGCAGGCCAGATTGCACTGGTAGCGTCGACGGCTATATCGGTGTTGCGACGGCATGTTAGTGGCGAGCTACGCGATGGTTGCCAACATTGAAAAGCCAGCAGAGAAGCATCATTCATGGGTTTAACTCATTGGTTAGTCTGTTGTGACGCCCTGGACTGCCGTAGAGGCTCGCTTATTATTTAGCCAAGATACAGGCCCCGATCTGGGTGCATCATCTTGATCTGGCTAGATGGCCTCGATCCAGCTAACTTGTCCTTGTCAACTGGATAACCTGATCTAGCAGAGGTGCAACCATTACACATATATCTGTATTTTGAACATGTTCATCCTCTCTCATTAGAAGAAAACTGAGCTAAACAACAAGGAAAACAAGTTGGAAACGCCAATGATATTTATATATATGCGTATATATGCCGACCGCAGATCAAATATAACTCCATCCAGCATCTATCCTCCCCTCCAGAAAAGGTGTCAAAAACCCAAAAAAGAATACATGAGTACTGAGCTTGTCCCAATGCTTGATGCTGCCTCAAATGTTTGTAAAAGCCTCCCTTTTGCCTCCTCCTACCGACATAACAGCCGCGACACCTATGCGCAGGGTCGCATGAAATCGAAACTGAAGCGAAAAAAAATATTACCCGAATATAAATGTTAAACCGATGCGGAACCCAGCCCACCACAGTCGAAGCGAATAAGATGTAAAAATATACAGGTGCAGTTATAAGGGGCGAGAAAAAGGAAATAACGTGTCCTCCATTTAATCATGCAATTATAGGATTTTTGCGAGACCTCATATTTGCTGTCCGTCTTCCACCAGCTTTAGGTCTCCAAGCTCCTGTTGGATTTCGCCAATATGTCTTTCGCTTTCGGGTTTCCATGTTCCTGAGATCATATCGTTAGCTTACATTGTCTGCGCTCCAGCCATCTGACCCAAAACTTACCCTCAAAATCGTGTTTTACAAACGCCATGGGATCATCGTAGTCCTTGGCGCCCATCTGGCCAACACCAGGCGAGAAGCTCGTAATGGGCAGAACCACAACGTCCCCAACCCGCTTGCTCGCTTCCATGCCGGTAAAGTTGCGATAATCAATCTTTCCCTTGCTGTGCTCCATATCAAAGTAGCGCGCGTCGTTGAAGTAGTCCATGATGGTGTCTGTCCAGACGGCCGGGCCAGTCAAGTCCACAACGTCGTTACCCTTGAAGTTGGAGAGCTTGCCCGCCTTTTTCAGAGTCAGTGTCGAGTTTGTGATTCGGCTGATGATGTCGCGCAGCACAGGATGGCCGGGCTTGGCCTGGATTGTCCATTGGCAGAATTGGATGCGACGGCTGTACCAGTCAGCCCAGTCGGCGCGGTCGGGGTCTGCCTCGATGCCAATGACCAATCCAACAGTCTCCTTGGGAATCTGCTGGGGAATCCACTCGAGAGCGCTCCGGATGGCGTATGTGTCAATGTCAGAGTAGATGCCGCCGCGCGCGTACAGAATCAAATAGCGGAAGAAATCGGCCTTGAGAACGGGCAATGGCAGGGCATGGTATGTCTCCAGCACCTCGGGGATGCTCCCGTACAGCAGCTGGAGCAGAGTGGCGGCCACGGAGTCGGTGATGACCTCGTGGATGAAGCCTGGGTGCTCAATTGACCACGAAGCCTCCTGCTCGCGGAATTCGAACTCGCCCTCGCCGGGCGTGTGTTTCCAAGTCTGCCAGATGTAGGCGGGGAACTTGGACTCGATGTCGTACGAGTACGCGTAGTCGAGCTTCTCGTACGTCGACATGCCCGACATGTCGATCATGGGCTTCTGCGGAGGAGGCGGCGGCACCGCTCGCTGCTGGCTGGCCGCTGCTTCTGCGGCCGCTGCTGCGGCGGCCTCTGCCTGTGCATCGTGGCGCTCGGATGCGCTGGGGGCGCTGGAGGTGGACGTGTGTGATCGAGAGACGAGGAAAAAGACGGTAAGGATGAACGCCGCAGCAATGAGGGCGCGGCGTGGATTCAGCATTGTGGCGTTTCTAGCTTTCGCTTCGACTCGAAGGTTGCGTCGATAAGGATGGAATGACGTGAATGTCGCGAATGCCAAGGCGGTAGATATCCAGCACGAACTGAATGCAACTCAAGCTATAGCCAGACCATGGAATAGCAGATCTCTCGTCGAAAAAACCACGATATTTCCACGCGAAAAGTCCACGAGGAAGATGAAAGAGGAAATAGCAGTCGTAGATTGAACAAGAGTCAAGAAACCAAATAAGTTTCTCGCTTGCTTCCGCTTGACAGGGGGCCAGATGTGGATTCTCGTTTTTTATGTCTCTTTTTCTTTCTTCGCTCGATTAGGCGTCGACGGGGGGAGAAGAAAGATACGAGATGGGACGATACGGAGACCCAATGCAGAAAACGAGGAATTAGAGGGGATTGCGAAAGGGGGGCCGAGATGCCACACAATCTGACGAGGACAAAGTTCTTTGAGGTGAAAAAAGAATAAACGATTGACGGGAGAAAGAGTAAAAGCTCGTCAACGAGGAATTAGAAGAACGAGGAAACACAGGAAGAGGCAGTATTTGGAGGTGAAAGAGAGAAAAGAAAAAAAGAAAGATGCGACTCCAGACGAGGATGGGGCGGATGCATGCATCGGTTTGATGTCACTTTTTTTCTGGCCTCTTCGCGCCTTACTGTACAGTGGTGCGAGGGCAGATTTCCGAGCTAGAAGAGAAAACTGGCAGCAGAAAATAGGGGCGCTTCAGCTAGCAGCGTAGCACTGCCAGAAGCCGTTGAATGGTGGATGGCGTCTTGGGGCCGCTAATCTAATCGTCGACTAGCACGAGGTACCACGCCGCGCTGTAGATTTGCATGGGGGGCTTTGTTGTTGCAGCCGGACAGGCCGTACGAGGAACATTTCCATGATTTCGAACACATTGATCCATATCTAGGTATCTATATCGACAATTGACCAGCTGCAATGTGTAATCTTTGCAAGAATTGGAGCGTGTTGCCGTGGCATTGCCCTCCAGAGATGATGTTGCCGTGTCTAAGAATAGCCCCGGATTATCGCCTCATGGCATCTCTTACGCTGATCAAACACGCCTCAACCACGCTCGAAGACAATGGAATGCAGCCGCCTCGACCCAAACTGACGTGATACCGAGTGATTTGCGCCTAGACTTGCTGTGAACGGGCATGCTTAGCACATGCCGGCTGCTACGCAAAGTTGCTAACTCGCTACTGTAAGAAAATAAGGGATCAGAGACTATGGAGCGGCTGGGTCTGACAAGGCGCAAGCTTGAAACGCCAGACTGCCTAGCGCCGAGATCTGTCGGTCGTTTGCAGAGCAGATCGGCGACCCTGGCGCTGTGCTACAGTTGAGTTGAGAGGCCAGAGGATTTGCGTTTTATCGACCTTCCATATCCATCGCTGGATTTATATACTTTTAACAATGGAATGCGATGGATAACTTTTTTCTCCCCTGGTCTGTCTTTTTACTTTGGGGCTTTCCAGAGTCGCATTGGAATCCTACCGGCACTTCTTCATCTCACTGCTGACATCGAAGCTGTGGAGCGACGTCATTTCCTTCGCGGGGACCCCTAAAGCCCAAAGAGAAAAATTCGCGCTATCAATGGGGGGAGGGGCATCTCGTAAAAAGCACGAGCGCAGTACCAATGGTAGTTAGTTAGTAGCTGAGTAAACAAGGACAAAGCAATGGTGTTCAGAGCCTCGAATACCTTTGCAGCAATTGATACTTCGTGGCCTCTGCAATTCCCATCTCCTCCATCTTATACTTTGCACTGCATGCCAGCCAAGCAAAACAAACCTACACTCAACATTAAAGTTGGAGATTATCTCGTTCTTAACCTTGTTACTGATCCAGCAGCCGAAACCGTGCCAAGCTTCGTTTTGCTGCCCGCAAGGGGAAGCGCCAACGTTACATCCCACGGGCCTTATCATGGAACTCGCTGCCACACTAATCAAGGCTGATTTTTTTCCCTCTTGTTCGGCGGACAGGCCACCCCTGCAATCTATCATTTCCGAACTTTTTTCATTCCTAGCTGGCAATTTCATATAGTTATCTTGAACAGCCCAATAAATGCGGCGGATAGAGTTGGCAATAGTCCTACTCGATATATCGTATCATTATCACATGGTAACAGAGTGCATGGCTAATGCAGCTAACCTCGACATCCAATCACAAAGAAAGCGGTACCTACGTACGAGAATAAACCACACAAGCTTTTCTTGGCGAGATGAATGGTTCGTAATCGTGCATTGGTGCCATCAGCTAACACGCAATAGCTGCACTTCAGCTCCTCGTATTGCGCACATCGTATATGGAAGACTCGGCACGCTCCGTTAGTGGGACGACAAATAGCACCATGAATCGATTTACTGCTTATCTAGACCTCCGTAACCCGTGCTGCCTCCATACACGTAGTTAATGAAGCGCAACCAAATATTCATCCAGCGCTGTCCACCAATAATATCATCTGTCTACAATCCTCCAATTGTTGCGAGCCGCTCTAGGCTAGTAGACCCCAAACTGCCTTTAGCAAAGAGCTGTGCCTGTGAAAGACTACATGCATATTAGAGCTTAGCAGGCGCGACATGATGTTCACGGCAGAAAATAGAGTAAAGAGGCCTCGTAATGCAACTATATATAGCGATATACATAACATAAGATAGAAGAAAGAGGGCTAATAATACAAACAACTTCGTCGTGACCGGGGGGTATACTAGCTAAACAACAGTCGAAGTGTGATGAATATGCATGGCGCTATCAACACACCATAGCTGGAACCTCATATCCTCACATTAGTATACACCTATACAGTACACAGAGGACTCGAGAAAACCTCCCTGTAAGACAGCAAACAAAAACTGTTTCCACTTGCCCAGGCACCACAGCGCGTGCATCCCGAACCGAGAGTTTCAATAGTCAAGTCGGTTGTAACGCAAAACTGCCCTCCAGTCAATTCCACTCCAGCTCGCCTATCCTCTCTCGTAGAACCCTCACTCGGCACAAACTTCCTGTATGCCCAACACTCATGTTCCAGGTGCTGCTTTGCAATCAAAAGTATTTCCATTTTCCAATGTTTTCCCCACCCTAGCTCACAGAATACGAGCTCTCAAGCATCCACTATTACTTCGTATTCCAACCACAAAAATCTAGATCCTTTCTTCTCTCCTCTACTAACCGCACGGGCCGTTATGAAGCGGAGCTTTGGGACAAGGCTAATTAATGACAGCATCCGCGAATGATATGACCTAAAAACAAAGGAACAAGGAACTAGAGCAGGCGGCCCATGCCAAGCGCCGCCGCTTCTGCAATCCCGAGGCAGGGCTGAAGAGCTGAATAGTAAAAGTTTCAACCGTTTATTTTTCACTTTCTCTCCTTCTTTCTCTCTTTTTTTTTTCTTTGCGTACGTAGAATGGCAGAGCTATAGACTGGCTTCAGTACCTATTGGTGTACTCGTGTGTGATATCATTGGCATCCAATGCCCGGCTCATAGTTTGAGTTGGAAAAGAAGCCCTGTAGTGGCAGCAAGTATGTTCAGAAACGTGGTGAAGCAATCGTGATAGGTGGGTGTATACCTATCAGGTGGCCAAGATGGAAAGTAGGTAATGTACATGTATCCATTGTACCAAGGCTGGATACCTATTGGATGCATTCAGTATCCATGGCCTATGCCTGAACTGCTTTCCTTTTTGACCTCTACTCTTTTGTCCATCTCATACACGCATTTTTAGCTACTCACTTTCTTCCAAGTCATTTTTCTTTTCCCTTCGCCGCCTTCTGTATCCATATGGGTAACCTTAACGTCCAGTCTCCTGCTGGTTGTGGGTCAATGTCGAGTGTCCTGGTATTATCAATTGGATAAACTCTCTTCTGTAAAGCCATGACTCCGTAGCCGGATCTCGAAATCGTCGAAGGACGACACGCCAAATGCCAAGGCCGATCCATGGGTTTGCGTGTTCAAAAATAGCCCAAGCAAATCGTGCGAATAGATGATGTTTCGAACCGTTTGTGAAGCGGTGGGCAACTCTGCCATTGAACGTGGACCAAGCTCCCGAAGGGTGGTTGAGGAGAACAGTCATGACATACCGCATACCGTACGGTGTTGATTTGGGTACGATGGCAAAAGACGCCCTTCTAAAAGGGATGATCAAGTCCGGCCTCAAGTGAATGACATTGGCGTCATCACGCATTGGGCTGTTGAGGTCCTGCTGATGCGAGAAGCCAATCGTCGACTCCATTCGATTGATTCCATACCATGGCTCCTCGGCTATCGGCACGAGCAACGCTCTTTCACAAAGCGGAGTGCCTGTGAAGTTGCAGACGTATGGGGTACGATGGACTCTGAGAATGGGTTCCTCCGGCCATATACTGTCCAAATCCTCGTGAGGGAATATCCAGTCTTGGAAGGAGGCCACGATGGGATAAGAAGCTAAAGGACATGCATTGGTTACCATCCATCCAATGCAATACATACAGGTAAGAGGAGAGTGGAGTGCAGCCAACTAACGGTATCCTGGAATGATATAGTAATATTCAGCCTCTGTCAAAAGATCCTCCCAGCCCGTCTCGACAGCAGAGACACCATTTCGGTCGAGCGCGAAAAAGCCGTTTCGAGAGATATTGCCGGTAAGGATCTCGCAGGCTACGCGAGCTGTGTAATGATGCAGTCCAAAGAAGAATGTTCCGCCCGAAGCCGCCGATACTCTTTGGTCGGTCTGTGAGAGAGTTAAAAAGCAATTATGCGGCTCTGGATGGCCGGGATGTTTAAATTTGGTGCGCAACTCCGTCGGGGCAGCAGCTGGGGCTTGGGGGGCAAAGTACGTGTATATCCCGACCGGTCCTGGCTGTGTGGCTATTGCAGGCATCATGAAAAGGAACAAATAATCTAGTAATCGGCTAGAAACGAACTGCTAGTAAGTTGTATACTGATGAATAGACGTGGATAAAAGAGAATCAAGCCTACTAATGGCGGCGGAGTGAGATGGTGGATGAAATGAAACGGTAACTGGAGAAACGACAAAGAGATGCTTTGGACGGCTGCTTCTCTTTTCAAATTCAATGCGTTTAGCTCTAAGGATAGTAAAAACAGACATTGCTTCCTTCCGTAGACAAGGCAAGCTATTATCAGGTACGACGAGATGAAGCGGACGATCTGCAAGGTGTGCTCTCTTTCCTTGTCCTCGCAACTTACACGCTTCAACCTACATGATGAGTTACCTGTCCAAAGCCACTATGACACCGAAATCTATTCATTCGCGAGTTTGCAGCTTGTGAGAAAGAACCTTTGGAGCTTCAGGTGTTTGGCGAATGTAAATACAACAGGTATAAAGTATACGCGCATAAGTGCATTTCGGACAGTGCTCCTTTGCCTTGAACTTTACTGCATATATTTTCGCCGTCTCTGTTTCCAGATTGCTTTTGAGCTTCTATCCCTTTTTCGGCCATGATCTATAATTCAGGCATATCAACACTCTATCAACACTCTATCAACATTCTATCAACACTCTATCAGCCAAATTTCCTTCCACGCTTCACCCAGCAGTCGGATGACTACCAACGGCGTACATGTATTTTTACTTCCGTTTCTGGCCCTAGCCCGCGGCTCCCAAAAGACGGCGCATGGCGGGGAAGCGAGAGTGAAAGCGGACAACTCCGTAGATACAGGTGGCGGGGCAGCCGCAGATAGGAATAAAATAGAGAGATAACGGCGGACCTCATGATATGGATGGGGAATTTGCATGTATGTTAATCTGATGACGATGAGCATTTACTGGTACGTAAAACAAATCGCAACACTTGACATTGGATGCTGGAAATGATATACTGTTACCTTGTACAAACGGTATGTTAAATTCTCCTGTGTGTAACATGTAAGAGGCTTTCACACGCTCGCAGCCAGATGCGGTATCTACGTTATAATTGTCATTAATACAATGGTCAAGCGCCTTCACAACAGATCTTGCAAAAATATTAATTCTAAACCCACCAGTTCTGTCCTATCAATGTGCGCCCTTTGCCCCGGAGCAAAGTGCCAAAAATCAGGCACAAAAAGTTGCCAAATCAGGTAAATATCAGCCATCTTCATCGTTACCGCAACCCCTCACTCAAATTCCCCAAAAACTCATTGACGTCTCCGACTTTCCGTTCTCCAATTGACACAACAAATCCAAAAGCAGGCAATAAACTTCACATGCGCCAGGATGCAATGCGTGCCGTACCTGCTTATCCAAACTAATGCAGCTGAGACTATCAGATCATGCCACAACGTGCGGCCATACAACGACGATTTTGCCTTGAGCCTCATGCTTGCCGTGCGTGGTATCGCCCTGAACGGGAATGGTCGGGGTCATGTGCCGGAGCGGCATCTTTTAACGTTTTGGGGGTCCTCGAAGAAGCAAAAAGTTGACCATATGGTATGGCTATCTAACTGGAGATCGGCGAAGAAACCCCATTGTCAAAGTGGTGTTCTTGTTATCAAAGAGGTGGGCACCACGGCGGCGTCAACAGCGTTAACAGCGTCCCCTGATAGTGCGCCGACAGCGGTGCCATTGGCTGGTTCGTGGCGAATAAAACGCGGGGCAAGGCGCTAACGCCGTTGTGAGGACCACGTTTAGTGGCTGCCGCCCCGCCTCCGCCTTTCTGGGCCCCAAATCGCTGTAATTGAGGCAACGACTTTGGCAGCTTGATTCAAGGACCCAGCATCTGGCTTTGAGCCTTTCGATTTACTAGAGATCGATCATCCATCGCCGGCTACTATCGCACCGTATGGAGGAATCTCCCCCACTCCAGCCGTCGGCCTCGGAAGCCCGCGGAATCCTTTGGTCGTTGATACTATTTGATAATGACAACCTCTGAGCATCTACTTAAACATCGTGGTCCGCCAAAAGGGGAGAGACTTGCAGAACCGATCATCTTCCCTCAACTCTTTTACAATCCTATACAAAAACAGTCGTATAATAGACTGAACTTCTGTGTTGTTCCTCAGCCACAGTGTTGCATCCAACGCCATTAGCTGAGCACTAAGCATACACCAGCTCAACCTTGTCTTCCGTCTTATGTGATTTTACACTACAAGACAGAGTACGATCATCTCTCAAAACTAGATTCCCTCAAAATCCTTCTCTTTCTTTTGGTATCATCACTCATCTCTTCTTAATCGCTACATCACAATGGCCGTCATCACCGCTCCTCGGCCGCATCCGCTGGCTCCACTCTCGGCCGCCGAGCACACCCAGGCCCGCGATGCCGTGGCGAAGCTTCACGGTCCCTCAGAGACCATCTTTTTCAGAGCAATTCACCTGCAAGAGCCCAAAAAGTCTGAGCTGCAGCCGTTCCTCGAGGCCGAGCACACGGGCAGCTTGACAGAAGACACCCCGCGACCTCCCAGAGAAGCCATTGTCGAGCACGATGTGATTCGAGCGGATCGCGCCGAGTACATCAACGCCGTGGTGAACCTGGAGAACGGAAAGGTTTCTACAGTCTCCGCTCCCGTACCTCATCAGCCATATTTTACTCCGTGAGTCCATTTATTCGCTCCTTAACAGACAAAAGGGGACGCAAGTCTAACACGTTGCAGTGGCGAGTTTGATCTATTCAACGATGACTGCATAAACTCGGATCTGTTCAAGGAGGCAATGTCCGAGTTTACCCTTCCAGAAGGCTTCGAAGTCTGCGTTGAGCCATGGCCCTATGGCCCTCCCAATGCCGACGAGGAGAACATCCCGCGACTGATGCAGGGACTGGTCTATGCCAAGGACGCCCGCAACGGAAACCCAGACTCCAATCACTATGGCTATCCCATTCCCATTGTCCCCATCATGGACTGGCACACCAAGAAGATTGTCAAGGTTGAGAGGATCGCAACTGGCGGTATTGGCGATGAATTGGAGGCCAAGATTCGAAGTGATGAGCCCGTCAAGCTTTTTGAGAACCACAAGGGCTGCGAGTACGTTCCCGAGCTGCTCGACGTGCCTCTGCGGACGGATTTGAAGCCCATCAACATCACCCAGCCAGAGGGCGCCTCCTTCACCGTCCACGACGATGGTCTGATTGAGTGGCAAAAGTGGCGATTCCGCCTTGGATTCACTCCTCGTGAGGGTGCCGTCTTACACGATGTCCACTACGACAACCGCTCAGTCATGTACCGCGTCAGCTTCAGCGAGATGACGGTCCCTTACGCAGACCCTCGACCTCCTTTCCACCGCAAGCAGGCTTTTGACTTTGGCGATGGTGGCATGGGCCGCGCAGCCAACAACCTGGAGCTGGGATGTGACTGTCTCGGCGCAATTCACTACGTCGATGCTCTCATGACGGAGCCTGATGGCTCGCCATCTCCCGGCAAGGCCGTCGTCTGTCTTCATGAGCAGGACAACGGCATTCTGTGGAAACACACAAACTACCGCACCAGCCGCGCTGTCGTGACACGTAACCGCGAATTTGTAGTCCAGTTCATCACCACCCTGGCCAACTACGAGTACATCCTCATGTTCAAGCTGGATCTCGCCGGCACCATCACGCTCGAGACCCGCGCCACGGGCATCGTCAGCGTCACCGGCATCGACGAGGGCAAGACCAGCGCCTACGGCAACATCATGACCCCCGGCGTCATGGCCCAGAACCACCAGCACGTCTTCGCCGTGCGCATCGATCCCGCCATCGACTCCTACAACGCCGCCGACTCCCAAGTCATCATCGAAGAGTCGCACAGCCAAAAGGTCGACCCCAAGACGAACCCCTATGGCAACTTTTACAAGGTCGAGCGCCAAAAGGTCGAGGAAGCCAGATGGGTCGACGCCGAGCCGCGTATCAACAGGCTGCTCAAATTTGAAAACGCCAACAAGAGGAACCCCGTCTCGGGCAAGAATCTCGGCTACAAGCTCGTCGCGCCGACGACGGCCATGCTGCTCGCTGAGCCGGAGGCCCTGGCGGCGAAGCGTGCGCAGTTTGCACATCACAATGCCTGGGTGACTGGATATCGGGACGGCGAGCTTTGGGCGGCTGGCGAGTTTACAAACCAGAGCACGCAGGAAGTGGGCGGCGTGGCTGATATGGTCAAGCGAGGGGACTGGTTCACAGATCGAGAGTCCAATGGCACGAATGGACATACTGAAGATGTGGGCAAGCGAAGCAGCCCTGTTGTATGGAGCGTGTTTGGCTTGACACACAACGTCCGAGTAGAAGACTGGCCCGTCATGTGAGTTAACCCCTTTTGCTGCTTTGTAAACTTGTTCACTGACAAAATCACACAGGCCAGTCGAAATCTTCCAGCTTCACATCCGCCCTACCGACTTCTTCACAGCCAACCCGGCGCTCGACGTCCCCGGCACCAGAAACAACGCCAGCGTCCTCCTCGGCGGATCCTGCTGCACGTCGTCCGGCGACAAGAACAGCGCGGCCCTGGCGCAGAGCAATCCGGTGACGCATCTGCAGGGCAGCGCGCCGGGGGTTCCAGCAAAGGACGCTGGAGCCAATGTCGATGAGAAGCTGAGCAAGAGGCTGAGCAAGACGTTTAACGGCATCTTTGGAGCGAAGAAGGAGGTTAAGGAGGTGAACTGAGGCATTTGAGGGAGCATTTGTTTGTTATTGTAGAGTTTTTGTATACCTTTTTCTTCTTGTATTTTATGTATAGCCTTTTTTGCATTTAAATTGTAAGTAAATAACGAGAGAATTCATTCAAATAACCCGCCTATGCTACATTTTTAATTTTCAGCCGATATATACATACACGTACAGATAAATTACACTTGTACCTATTTTCATCTCATTACCAAAAACTCAGTGATTAATCTTGAGCGAGAAATCCACATGCGGCACCCCCTGATGAATCGAGCTGGTAGAGATTATGTCCACATCTATCCTCAAGTCAGCAGTCAATATATCAAAGGGGAAACAAGAGAGAAACTCACCATTGCACACATACGGCTCGACATTATCCTCCCTCAACCCCCCCGACACCTCGAGCAAAAAGTGCCTCTTGCCCGCCCACCGCTCCTTCAAGCTCGCCGCCGCAACTTTGACCCCATCGCCCGTAAAGTTGTCCAGCATCACGACGTCCGCGCCCGCGCCAATTGCCTCATCCGCCTCCGCCTCGCTCTGCACCTCGACCTCAATCTTCATGCTGAAGCCCGCAACGGCTTTCGCCGCCGCCACGGCCTCGGTGATGCTGCCCCGGCTCCAGACGTGGTTGTCTTTTAGCATCACCATCGAGCTCAAATCCATGCGGTGCCCGTCCGCGCCGCCGACCAGCATGCCGTACTTTTCCACCAGCCGGAATCCAGGCGTCGTCTTGCGCGTCCCCGCCAGCACGCCCTTGTATCCCGCAGCCCGCAGCTTCGAGACGAGCAGCTCGCTCTGCGTCGCGACGCCGGAGCACCGCGCCAGCGTGTTCAGCGCAACCCGCTCGCCCAGCAGCAGTCCCCTTGCAGGGCCTGTGACGGTGGCGACCTTCATCTTGCCGCCGTTGCTGCCGAGGTCGAGCCGCGAGCCTTCTTCAGCGTGCCACTCGACGGTGCAGCCGCACTGGTGGAAGACCTCGTCGAAGAACGGCCGGCCGGCGATGATGCCGGCGGACTTGCCCCAGAGGGTGGCGGTGCGCGGGTGTTCGCCGACGACGAAGCCGGCGTAGTCGAGCGAGGGCGTGTCTTCGGCGAGCCAGGCGGTGACTTGGGGCTTCCAGCTGGGGGGGAGGAGGTTGGCGAGGGGTGGTGACGCTGAGGCAGACATGGTGATGATGCTGTGATGTATGAAGAGAGAGTTTATATCAGTCTGGTTTCGGCTTTGGAGTGAAGAAGGAAGAGAAGCCGGTAAAGGAGCGGAGTGGCTGTCTGAGCAGAAAAGGTGGTTACAAGAACAAGGTTGCTATCATGGAGCTCTTTAATAATGCTTGATTGACTTTGCGACTACGGAGTAGCGACACTGGAGCGGCTTGGAGCGGATAGCCGGCGTTCGGAAAAGGTGGGGGCGGGCCGCGCTCGGCTCTAATCCCGTGCTATACCTTCGCTTTGTAAGTGAGCCCTGGAGATCCTGAGATATTGCTCTCTACAAACGTTAATGGCTTTGTTTTAAAATCCAGTCACTTTTGGCGGCTATAATCATTTCTATCCATTGGCATCAGCACCGACAAAGTATCATCCTGCTCCACGTACGGAATTGGGTTGAGGCCAATCATGCCCTCTTCTCTCACCAGGTCCAGCTCTACCTCGTCATCTTCTGCCCATGCTTTTCTAGCACAGACGGTCTGCAGCAAGATTATATCATTAGTAACTCAATTCTTCATATCATGTATCAAAATGAATTAGAGTAGAGGTGATGACTTACGGCCTTTCGGGCTTTGAAATCGGCATACAGCTCTCTCCACGCGTCCCTTCCTGAGCAACCATCTTCTTTATCATGGCCGCCCATTTTATTCTTCTGCATATCCCGCTTCATCTCACACCTTGGTTCCAGCTTGAAGGAATTTTGATAATCGTCGATTGTCCAATACTTCTTCCATGGCTTCGGCACAGGGTAATCTGAAATACGAATTGTCCTAACTTGGCTCATCACCTCTGTCGAATTCCATTCTTCCGCACCGGAGCCAAGATACAAAGTGTGATTTGTCTCGCGAAGTTCAGACGACATCATGGTGTACGGCCTATGAGGGAGCATCATAGCCGTGTCGTGATATAGCTTGTTCAAGAGCTCCATGTCGTATTCGTCATCGAGGGCGATCGCCTTCTGGATGCGATCGAATTCATACTTGTCGGGTTGGATGACGAAAAATGGCGAGGCCAGTGCCTCTTTTGCTGTTTCGTTTCCGAGGAGCCAGTAAGCCCCGCGGCATGGCTATTGGACATGGTGGTAAGTGGAAGAGTTCGTCCATGTGCTCAAGATGGTCGTGTCTGAATCGATTGCAATGACTCGCTCGTACTGAGTCTGGTTAAAGGCCAGCAATTTGGTGTCAAAGTCGGCCCATGTGTCTTAATAATGTCAGTTAAGAATTCACTCGTCTACACCAAGGAACACGCACCATCGACAATATCTCTATGCTGAATTTGAACCGGCACCAATTTGACTCCGTATTCATCTCGCGCCTTGACCAACAATTCTCTTTCTTGAAAATCTCCGCCATCCACGTCTTCAGGGTCTGGAAGCATCTTTGTAGGATACATCAAGACCCTGTCGGCGCGACTTTTAAGGTGGTGTAAGCTCTGCAGCAGCATGACGGCATTGCAGAGGTATTTGCTGCTGGTAGCATATTGGACATAGGCAAACTTTGACCAGTCGGTAAGGCCTTCGGTCGTCGAGGCTCTCTCAATGTTGGTTGATGATAGAGCCTCAACGTTGATCGATGGTTGCTGGTAGGCACGTTCCGTAATATTGATGAGCGTGAAAATGACAGCTATCGCAGCTATCGGAACAAGAATGGCGCGGCTTCGACGAGCAGTTAGTAGAGCGAGGTAGTGGGCAGTGATCTTCTCCAACGCAGCAGCCATGGCTATAGCAAGACGCTGTCACATGGTCGAAGATGGTAGTAAAGAGAATGTACTGGCTTGTCGTAGGATGCACATGGTTTTATTCCAAGTCATAATCGCGAGACTCGTGTGTCTGAGATTTTCTGGCATTTGAACCTAAATAACCACGTATTTGATGATGCCATGTTGGTCAACTCCCTTGTTGCCTCGTTATAAAGACAAAATAGATGCATACATGGAGCTTATACTTGTAGTTGTTTCACAGGGTACATTGGAAGGGCTCAAAAAGCATGGCAATCTTAGATAGTCAAGATGGTAAAATTAAGAGACGCTCACAATATGCTGAGAACTATGAGAGCTTTCAATTGAACATATTATTAACTCATTCATACATTGATTCATTATCAAGAGAAATCCTTGGCATGAGCCATTCGAGACATTGAGTGTCTCTTATCAGTACGTACCCGTAGTATCGGGCAGTTTAGCACCCCTCCACAAGCTAAGGTACATATTGGGCGGGGGCATTCCAGATCCGCGCCGATCTCCGGGCCTCTGAATCATCAACAGCCATTAACGCTCTCTGCATGCATCGCCTACAAGATCAAACCGCCAGACAAACAACCACAAGCCGCTCTTCCTTTACTGGTCTACTATATCATGCCTGCTCTTTCCCTTGTTTTCAAGGTTTCGGATGGTCGCGCCGACTGCCGGCCTTCCGACGCCACCGATTGGGAGCTCCCAAGCCATCTCCACCGGCCTAATCCTAGATCCAGATTATTACATACGTGCATCCGTCGGGCTTGAGCCGGTGCCAGCCTGCCTTAGACGATGACATCCTCCCGAGTCTCGACTCAGCTGCGAACCTAAGCAAGTCGCCTCTCGTGACAGCTCTACAACCTGTCTTCGAAACTGCAAACAGTAGCCCAGGATGGAAGAGGCGGCACAGAAAGAGGCCTGCAGAACAGCGGGCAGCAGGCCACCCCTAGACAGCGAGTACTACGACCTCGGCGACCTGCATCGCCCCGTGTCCACCAGCAGTCCCATCGCCCAGACGTGGTTCAACCGAGGCCTCGTCTGGTGCTACGGCTTCAACCACGAAGAGGCCGCAAAATGCTTCGAGCGGGCAATTGCCCACGACTCGGGCTGTGCCATGGCCTACTGGGGCCTCGCGTACGCGCTGGGGCCAAACTACAACAAGCCCTGGGACCTGTTTGGCAGGAGAGAGATTCAGAACGCGGCGGGCCGGACACACCACGCCATCGAAAAGGCCAAGGCCTGCGCTGAGTCTGCGACGCCCGTTGAGAGAGCTCTGGTTGAGGCTCTTCGGTACAGGTATCCCAGGGCGGACGCGCCAACCAAGACTGACCGCCCGATATGGAATCGAGAGTATGCCGATGCCATGGCCTCGGTTGCAGCCCAGTATCCCGACGACCTGGACGTTGCCACCTTATACGCCGATTCTATGATGAACCTCACGCCCTGGGCGCTTTGGGATATTCGCACCGGTAATCCAGCCCCGGATGCCCGCACGCTGGAAGTGAAGCGAGTCCTGGACTTTGGCATGTCTCTGAGAGGCGGCAACCGACATCCAGGCCTGCTCCATCTCTACATCCATCTCATGGAAATGTCCAATACGCCAGAAGCGGCCATGCCAGCGGCCAACAACCTTCGTGGCCTCGTCCCAGACTCGGGCCACCTCAACCACATGCCCAGCCATCTCGACATTCTTGTAGGAGACTACTCCAGAGCCGTCGTCGCCAACTCCGATGCCGTGCGCGCAGACGAAAAGTTTCTGAAGCGCGAAGGCCCCATGAACTTCTACACGCTCTATCGAAGTCACGACTACCACTTCCGTTTATACTCTGCCATGTTCGCGGGCCAGTCCAAAGTGGCCCTCGAGACGGTAGAGCAGCTCGAGGCGAGCTTCTCAGAAGAGCTTCTCCGCGTCGAGACACCGCCCATGGCAGACTGGCTGGAGGCCTTCCTCGCCATGCGCGTACACGTGCTCATCCGCTTCGGCAGATGGAAAGACATCCTGGGGCTGAAAATGCCCGAGGACCCGGATCTCTACTGCGTAACCACGGCTCTGACACACTATGCAAAGGGCATGGCCTACGCAGCATTGGGTCAGGTAGATGAAGCTCGCGAACAGCGCCAGCTATTCGCCGAGTCTGTGCCTCGAGTCAAGCCCAGCCGCACCCTCTTCAACAACAAATGCATCGACATCCTTTGCGTTGCGGAATCCATGCTCGACGGCGAAATCGAATATCGGTCTGCCAACTACCACGCCGCCTTTGCCCACCTCCGCGAATCCATCGTCAGATATGATGGCCTCCCCTTTGACGAGCCGTGGGGCTGGATGCAGCCTGCGAGACATGCCTATGGCGCACTTTTGCTCGAGCAGGGCCATGTCAGCAAAGCATTGGCCGTGTATAGCGCAGACCTGGGCATCGATGACTCCTTGCCGCGGGTGCATCGCCATCCTAATAATGTCTGGGCACTGCATGGCTACCATGAGTGTCTGGTGAAGTTGGGCAGGATAGGGGAGGCAAAGGAGGTGGAAGGCCCGTTGAGGAAAGCCATGGCTGTGGCGGATGTGCCCGTTACGTCTTCGTGCTTTTGTAGGTTGAGGACGGCCAAGATATGAAGTAATGATATGAATTCGAATGCGAATGTAATGTATTTGATCAGCTTAGCCTAGCCAGTATGTAGTATAGTTTACCAAGTTCTGCCAAGATATATATCTGATACTGCTACGAAGTTACACAAGTCACGCCTAATGTTGCAAGTAAATGGAAACGAGTCTTACCTTGTCAGAATCTACACAAGAATTTACAATCAAAGAAGCATGTGATGCGAATCACAGGCCTCAATGCTTACGGCGGAATACACGGTAAAGGCGCGGGCGGGGGCATGCGCATCTGCTGCTCGACAGCAGAGCGAGATCATTGCTAGATAAGAAAAAAGCGTTGCAACCATCGTCAGCAACTTGTATCGGGGACAAGTTCAAAAACAGTCGTCCATCATCAAAAAGCCCGTGGAAAAAAAAAACAATTCATCAAACAAAAACAAATCATGCGCCATCCCGGTCCTGATCGGTCGATTTGCTGGTCATCACGTCGTTACCCATAATCCTCGCCTTCTCCTGCGCCAAGAACGCCTCCTGCTCCCTAGCACTCTTATCCAAGTCGAGGAACGTCCAGATGCCCCCTGTACTGACAATGGTCAGGGCAAATAGGAAGTAAAAGGGGGCGCTGTTGTTGCTGCCGTTGGGCGTGGCGTCGATGATGGCGCTGCTGATGAGCGGGCCGATGAAGCTGGATGATTTGCCGATGATGTTGAAGATGGAGAAGAAGAGGAACTCGTGGCCGCGGGGGGTGACGGAGCTAATCATGATTTGCGAGTAGCTGTACCACGGGCACACGAAGAGGCCGTAAAAGGCCTGGTAGACCCAGACTTCCCATTCGTTGTGGAAGCCGAATTTGTCGGTCCAGTTGCCGACCATGCCCCAGCCGTCGAGTAAGATGATGGATACCATGACGGCGTTAAACATTGTCTTGGCGCTGAGGTTGAATTTCTTCTGGATGAGCCAAAAACCACCGATACCAACGCCCTGGGCGACAATGCCCACGATGAGAAGATACGTTAGTTTCAGTGTGTCGTATGCGACGACCTGGTTCTGCAGGGTGGAGATGACGGTAACGGTTGTGTTGAGCGAGTCTCCAATGAGGAAATATCCGGCAAGGAAGATGAGACTCTGCTTCAACTGGCGGATCTGCGTCAATGCTTCATAGAGCTGCCAAAACCCGACGGTAACAATGTTATAGCCAGGCGGGATTTGCATGCCCGGGCGCTTCTTCTCAACGAAAAACCACGGCAACGAGAGGACCACCCAGACCGCAGTCGCGAAAGCGATGAGCACAGACAGGCCCCAGTTGTTGTTTTCGGCGCTGTCGTCCACCCTGACGCCAAACATGATGCCCACGATGATGGCGAGGATCACAACCTCGCCAACAGATTGGATGTAGAAAGAAACGTTGCTCAGACGACTTCGTTCCATCTCATCGCGGCGATCGAGCTCTTCCAGTGTGATGTCTCCAGATTCATATTGCAATCGCGAGTCTTTGAGTTTCGTGGTATTGCGGGCTAGGGATGGGAAAGCGGCGGTCCAATATGTCAAGGTTAGCTGGTAAGCAATCAAACCGACAATGTATAGACCAGTAGCAATCTTCCACTGCTCGGGCTTGTGGACGCCGAGCCAGCCAAAGCCAATGCCGTAGGCAATGAGAGACCAGACAACCAAGATCCAACGACGTCCAGTGCCAAAGTCGGCGTAGGCACCGATAATCAGAAACAGAGCGGCTTGCAGAGCAAAGGAAATGCCATTAGCGAGTAAAACAATACTGTTCACGTCGCGTAATCGGCCAGCAAACTCGAGCAGGCCAGATTCGGGAGCAGCCTGAGAAAGCAGGTTTTGAAAGGCCGTAGGGCCAAAGTTGAAAAGGGACAGGCCATTGGCGCCGATGTAATAAGCGTACCACGTCCAGATTTCCCACTTAGTCGTCGTAGGTATGTCGCCTTCAGCCAAGGCCGGCATCACCGTCCCTGGAAGCTCGCCGGCGACTTCCAAAGTCCTCGATGGCTCAGAAAGGTCCTTTTTTGTTGCATCGTCGACCCGATTCTGAGCAGAATTTGAACCTTCGTGGGCGTGTGGCTCCAAGTCCACTTTACTCGTAGAATTCAAGGACATCTTGTATAACACTGCTCCCAAAGCCGATCAGGGAGACAATGGATGAGGGATAAACAAAACAGAAGATACATGAAAAGTGGACAAGGCGTTGGCTTTTATTCTCTTTTTTTTTTCTCTTTCTTTTTTTCACTTATTTCCCCGATAACGAGCCAACGGCAGGCATGAGGGGTTTTAGTTCGTTCATCGGCCAGCGCGCGCTCATAGCTCCTCTTCTTGTGCCCCCAAATGCCATTCTGGGAGTTGTGAAACTCTGGCTACATTGTGGATGTCT